TAATTATGGAAACAACTGTACATTTATCGGGGTCCAACAGACATTGTAGTTTTTAATGTCAAGAATACCTTTTATTTGTTTCGCGATATTGCGTTCTAGCAATGAATGTTTGAGGAGGATGGGCTCGAGGAAATTCTTAAAGATCTCGTTCAGTAAGATTAAAGGTTTCTTATTCATAGTTTACTTCTTCCATTCTGTATCCGGTGACAGTGATAATTGTTGCTAAGGATTTGTATAGTCATCAGGATTCGTTTTCTGTAAAAAGAATTTTTGGTCTTCTGCATTAGGACAACATCGCTTTGCTGTATTACGGTACATAACCTCCATAAATAGTACCTTTATAGTGTGTCAATTTCGACGTGTTCATAATTTTCATAATTAGCTCGTCCAGACAATCGTTACAAAGTAGCGTCTGACGATTATATATCAGAATGTGAACTCGTAGTGATGGATAAGTTTGTTTGGGACACACCACAAACTGAAGTGGGGAAGCAGTGAATAAAACGAATGAAGTGACGTGAATTTTAGAGGGCTGTTGAGCCAGCTCCAAGAGATAGAGCATGACTAAGAATTTATAGTCAGACAAAAATAAGACAGACATGTGACCAACGAGATAGGCATGTACACATATGAATAAAAGCGACCAATTGTTGACAAGGTCAAAAGATATGTGGGACAAGTCACATGAACTTATACAAACCAGGCAATAATAAAAACGAATGCTACATTTAAATTGTTGCAATACAAATGGCTTGGTTAAATAAATTAATCGAAAGGGCTTAGCCAAATTAGGTAAAAGCGAACTCGAATATACGTGGAGACTATACACCTTATTGATTAGAGTAAATATCCGTGAATATATGATGAAATTTAATCTTGTGTATGTAGATATTTCAACACAAATAGTACAATCCTTCTATATTCCCTGCTCTTGATGTACCGCTTCCATTCGTCGCAAATTTCGTCTCTCTGTGTAGTTCTACAACGGACGACGAGTCCCATATTCGTATCGACTAAGCCAGAATCATACTGTAGACACAAAACTCTTACAACATTACATGTGAGATAACAGGAAATCTAACATCCAACAGGGTCGTAAATAACTAGTTCGTGTATAAGTAGATTAACCTTTTCCATATCTACACGCATGTGAGTTTTTCGAATACTTACAATCATCCAACGCGTTATTATATACTGTACGTAACACAGTTCATTAGCTTTATGAAGCTATTTAGAGTCAGTGTTCTGATATGTGAGAAGTCTTCGAAGAGTAGATTTTTAAGGCACTTTTGTCCTAAGAGTTAAGATCCTCTAGATTATTGTCTGATGTTAGTGAGCACCTTTTCCTGTCGCTTACTGCGCCTGGATTAGACTGGTCACAGAAGTCAGAATTAAAAGTTTTTATTGAGTATGTGTGAGGATTTTTTCATTGAAAACATAGCAGAATGAGGACCGTACTATTATCGGAAGAACAAAAGCTTTACAGTAATTGAAGTTTCGCAGATGACAGATTTTGACATACTGGTATAAAAATAGGATTTTCAGGATATCCATGTCTTGTGTAATAGGTGGTCCCTGAGGGGGTTCACCTTATTGACAGCACGAGTATCGTGTATAGTTGCAGACTTTTGTGTTACGAATCAGTATTTTCCATAATTTTGCACTCATAATAATTTAGACTGAATCCTTAAAACGAAGACGGTTTTGCATCTTCGGGTTATTTATCACAAATCACTCTAGGGTGAGCCATATACTGCCTTTCTTGTTGTTCTCTTCCTGATGACTTTAGATATTCTACAAAGTCACTTTTTTACAAGACTCTTAAATGCAGATAGTCTTAATATGAGAGAGGAGACAGAAGGTCCCACAGATATCTCTTGCCTTCGATAGAGCACTAATTGAGTAAAGGATCTTACTGACAGGAATGGATTCGTAAATTGCTGTTTGAGTTGAAAGTTCTCCCTCCTCATCGTCATTAATAAGTCAGTAGTCACATTCGCTTGAGATTCTGCTATGAACAATCAGTTATCTGAAGTTTAGCTACTGGGAGATAATGGTGTACCTAGCTAATAAAGCATCAGCAGTGAGGTTTTTGATCTTTTTTAGAAGAATTTTGTCCACCTAGATAAGGTTTATAAACAGAATCATTGAAGAGTCCTGAACTTGGTTAAAAGCTTAATAACCGTCACAATAACTGTAGCTGAGCATGAATATGTTCCCTTTTACGACTTTAAAGTGTTTGATTCTTTTTATCTGATAAATGTTTACTAACTGTAACTTGTAAATGGGTCCACAATAATTTGACACAAGGTATTAGCCAATTTATTCCCAAACGATATAGCTGCGGGTATCCAGAAACCCTGCTACCTTTAGAAAAACGCACTCACTCAAATCACGTGATATACAAATTTATAAATTATTTCCATCTGAGATTACTGCAGTCGAGTGGCTGGACTAATATCTACTCGACATTACCAAATAATTGGAGCCTTTTCGAAAGAAGGAGAATGGAGGACAAAAAGATAGGATGGCTTAATCTATCTCGATAATTATACATTGGATATTAGATTCAGCTTCCTAGGCGGGAATTCAAGCTGTCACGCTCCAGATACTGAGGGTTTAGTTGAGACTTCCGGGAACATCTTGGTTTTTAACTGATATTGTCTTATCATTCGTAAAAAAATTTGGTTGTGACACAAGCCTTATTTCAACAATATTTTTTTGACATGATAACTGATAATACTGCAATGAACTTTTCCTTCGTTAGATTTACATAGTAAACTAGTTTATGCTATGAAACGCTAACAGTACCCACCAATAATAATTGATTTAGATTTAATTTTTGGATCATAAAATGACTTATTTTGAGTAATTTCCTGCTCATATTTCCCTTCTTTGGTTGTATCGGGTAATAGTAGTAAACTATTGAACATCTTGCGAATTGTTTGTAGTGGGTTTTCTCTTCAAGATCCACAAAAACTTTGGACTTATTAAAAATCCGAAAACTGTTGCTCAGTATGCTCTTTTCCTTCACATTTTCTCACTTCCGGAAAATTTCCACTGACCTTCCTATTGGCCTGGATTTCCTACTTCAGATATCTAATTTAGTACGATTGTATGAATTTCCACTAAAAATACTTCATATTCTGTGCTAATAATCAATACCATAACCACATCTAATAGCCTTCATCAGAATAAAAGCCAAATTCCTTGTTAGTTACTGCAATAAAATTCTGCATTAACCACTTAGTACCACCCTCTATACTCTGTCATGTCATAGGGATCTATATTACTGAGTTATTAAATGTAATAAAAGTATTCTTTCCCCTAAATATTCTCCATATCCTAAATCCTGGTTGCAATTTTCCACCAAAGAGCATTGTACTATAAATGAATCTTTGCATTACATTAAATGAAAAAAATGGTCCTGATTGCTTTCCAATTATGAAGCGGAAACCCAAAATAAGAATATATGCATATATTTGTTCATCCATTAGAAATAGATAACTTCCTGTAATGCAACTCAACATTTTGTTGGGAAACTGAGCATTACAAAAGTTATTGAACCGCTTGATTTAACTTACGATGTAATAATGTATTCATACAAAATTGAAACAATTGAGCTGTTTTACGAGGATTATTTTCCTTTATCCCTGTCGATTTGTCCACTTAAAATAAACAACAATTGCAACGTAATAACTCGTTTAAAACTTTTCTAAAAACCTATAAACGATCCGTCTCTTAAAACGACCGGCCCCAGGCTTGTTCGAGACAGGCAACAAGACCTCAATCATAGAGTGACATTTTCTTTGGAGATATCTGTGTGTTTTGATTACAATACAGTGAACCTTGATTAACTTCAACTAAATTAAAAGGGTATATATTTAAGTCATTAGCTTTTGCCGCAAGGAGAGTAGTTTTTTGACTACATGTAGGCTTCCAACTACATTCGCAATCCTAGAACGAAATGGTGTGTCGTAAATAACAGCAACTGATTTTAAGCTAACACTGTTATTTAACTTCTGACTACTTAAACCTGTAGTCAACATTTCTTGTAACTCGATGATAAGATCTAAAGATGGTTTTATTTCACCTCTGGAGACATCAACAACGGATACTTCTGCGTATGCTAGGGAACCATCTGATTTAAGCGCAGTGTTTGTCAATCTCGTTAACGAGTTAAGAGATAATTCAGGAAAAGAAACCCTAAATAAGGGAATATTTTGTGATTTTTTATTAGTGATTCATAGAATTTCACTATGTACGTGAACATCACGGGTGAATTTTGAAATGAACTTAAAGCATATGTAGACTTGGTGTACGGACTGGGGAAAAATCCCAGAACTTTTTGGAACTTGGGCTTTTTTGTTGGACTTCCCCAACTATCAGTTTAAATCCCATAGCGGTAGAGTTGGTAGAAGTATTAGCAGTAATAGAGGAGATTAGTGTACGAAGATATTATTTAAGAAGTCTAATTCAGCGAGATAAATTTTATAAAGAATATGGTGATGAGATATTGAGATTAGCATTTCAGAGAACACAGTGAATGAACGCACCTGCACCATTGCAAACAGTTTTGAGCCATGTCATTCAAGGTCTCTTACTATCGATTACTATCATTTCGCGGACCTCAACCAGGTAGTCGACACTTGCCAACCTGACTCAATCCAGTTGTCAGTGGCTTCGTGGATTTGTGCCATGTTTTAATTTGGTCGTCCCTAGCTTTCTTGCAACCTATTCCTACATCGCAAAACAAAGCGCATCGAGGCAGTCGGTGGTTAGGCATACCCAACACATGTCCCACCCACCTCAACTGATGAATTCTCAATATTTCATCTATTAATTTACTCCCCCTACTCTTTACTTATAAAATTGATAGTACTAAATTCTCTTGCGTAACAACGTCAATGTGTTAATGATCATAGTTGCTCAAATTTTATTTATTCAGTCAACGAATTACCTGTTAGTATTTCAAATAAATATATTTATTTTTTTCAACAGATTACAAAAATGTTACGATTAGCACTAGTACAAATGTTTGTGAGTGCCGATAAAGCTGCCAATATAAAACATGCCTCTGAATTAATTAGTCGAACTGTTACTGAGCATTCACCACATTTAGTATGTTTACCGGAATGTTTCACATGTCCTATTGGTGCAAAATATTTTGAACCTTATGCAGAAACTGTACCGAATGGTCCATCATGCCAGATGTTATCGAATGCTGCCAAGTAAGTTTTAAGTATTCTGTTTAGTTTATTTTGAATTTGCTATGTTTTCGCACCAAAAGACGCTTATTTTAACCTCTGGCTTACATTTCCTACTCGAAAAATCTTTGACTATCATTGGTGGACGGATTATTTTAGTAGGCGTTTTATCATTCATTGTATAAATAAGCTTGAGTTGTGTGTTTGTAGGTATCGTATTTTCTGGGTGCCTGTGATTACATTCTCTCTCTACGTCTTATCAAGTCTTCTTCTTCCAGGTAGTTGGGCCTGGGACAATTGGATTAGAATAGCCTATCGTATCACTGCATCATTGGTCTTCATTCCGTTTACCGAGTAAGGCGAAGTCGTAATAGTTTCAAGCATATCAATCTTGCATCGATTTTTACACTGTTCTGAACCAACAAAAATGCAATGTAAATTCTACTGTTTATCCTTAACAATTATAGTCACACAATTTTATACAAATTAATCCTCAATTGGCAAGGGTAATTTTACATTGTTTTTGAGAAGAACCAAGTAGACTGCCCACGTGTTAACATTTCAACATGAACAGTTCGGTCCAATCCCGTGGCACGATCACAGAAGTACCTGACACCCTGGTGGACCATTCACACCACATACACACCAATACATATATAGTGATTATTTCCGATCTGTGATCGCATCAATCAACATGCACTGCATGGACGGGTAATTCGACCCATCCCACTTAGATGACTGTCGAACTCGTTATTATTAGCAATGGTGATATGCAATGCAGCAGACCCTAATGGCAATGACCTTCGTGAATTTTACAAGAAAACCATAATCAGTGTCAATGAAATCGGTCAACCTGCCAACAAGTTTTGTTTATGGACTGTTAGCAATACTTAACCAAAACAATGTCAAGCCATCCACAATGTTCACAACGAACCTCTGGTCTCACAGGAAACCTTCAGCTCTGTAAATAGCAGTATATCATATGGTATACACATAGTTTGGCGTAGGATAGCAAGAGATGCAACCCAGCTTGATGTAAATGGACTCAAACACTTTTAATACTTTTTGTCTCATATCGGGTAATGAGATTTTTTTACTTTTCGACCATATGAGACCTGAGTTAAAAATGGGGGGTTGGTAGTATCCCTCCCAATCTTTAACAGTTAATAATCAATAAGTTTTGACAAAATAAATCAGTCCAATTGAATTCAATTTACAGATCACATAAAATATGGCTTGTTGGTGGTTCTATCCCTGAACGTGGTTCTGATGGTAAAGTTTATAATTGTTGTGCAACATACAATCCAGACGGTGAACTAGTTGGTTTATATCGTAAACTACATTTATTTGATATTGATATACCAGGTAATTTTTAAAAATTTATTTCAATAGTCAAATTAATTATCCGGTTCTAAGTATATATTTTTATATGTAATCAACTCAATAAATACGCTAACAAGAAGAAAATAATTCAAACGATATAAACTCTACTCTGGAAGTTAGAAGGTCTTCATTTAGAAGAATTATGACGTCTCATGATGAAAGGCGAGTTCCTTCGGATGTCATGAGGCCGATGCGCCTTCACGGTGTGGGCAGCCGGGAAGTTACATCCGCCCTCATACTCATAAAAGCACACAAGACCAAATTGGTCATAATCAAATCCTTCCTACACGCCCTAATATTTCTCTTATCTCCACGACCAACTCTTCGATTGATCGTTTATCACCTCGCACCATTGAAGCAAACGGTTTGAGCTCACGAAACCTTATTCCTGGTCTCTTGAAACTCCGTACTAAATTAAGTAATCGATGGTTAGATACCAAGAATGACATGGCTCAAAACCGTTTGCAATGACTCAGGTGCATTCATTTTTTGTGTTCTCTCGAATCCTAAACTTTCTGGATTCCTCATCACCTTTATCTTTATCTTTTTAAGTCTATTTCACTAGATTATACTTCTTAAATAATATCTTCAAACGATAATCTCTCTGATTACTGCTAATACTTTTACTACCTCTACTACTATGTGATTTGAATTGACAATTACATCTCTGTGTGCAAATGTGTTATGGCAACATGAACTAATGTACGTACGTATGTACGAAGTTCTACGTTGCGATTTGATTGATTGAATGAATCAACTCAACCATGTAACAGTGTGATTTGTATTGTTTGTCTTATTTAAGCATAATTGTTGGTACCTAGAAGGAGGCACTGAAACATGTATATCTGTTCGCCATACACGAACAAATGAGTTTGCATGGGATGGGATACTTTCCTACTACTCATATCGAAAAAGTTGATTTTCTTAGGGAGCTACTGCTTGATCCTTTGACCTACGGGTCTAATCCATAAGACAGTAGAGTAACGTCAGATGCTATCTCAAAGTAACTGGTGACCAAGAAAAGGTTCATACGCCATTTGTTCTATAACAGTCCTGGAGGTCATGTACATCATTCACTAAGAATAAGGGTTTTTCAACACCCCTGGATAAATACTCCGTACCCGACATCAGATATACACTTTTCGTTGTCTCAGTTTTCGCAAAGAGCATCACTGTCACGAAAATTTAGTGAGTAGGATTCGTATGAAGGTGGTTATACACGTGTGTCCATATAAAAGCATTTAGAGTCAGTCAGTCAGTTACAACGTAGAACTCCGTACGTACGGAAATCAGTTCAGGTTACCACACCACATTAGTACTGAGAGATCGAAATGTCACTTCAAATCCCATAGTAGTATAGTTAGTAGAAGTATTGGTCATAATGGAGAAGATTACGGTTCGAAGATATGATTTGAGAAGTATAATTCAATGAGATAACTTTAGAAAGAAGAAGCTAGAGGCGATGATGAATTCAGAAGGTTAGAATTTCATAGAACACAACGAGTGGATGCACCTGCGCCATCGCAAACGTTTTTGAGCCATGTCATTTAAAAAGTCTCTAACCATCGATTACTATCATCTCGCGGACCCCAACCAGGTATTCTACACTTACCAACATGACTCAGCCTACTTGTCAATGAGTTGATGGATTTGTGCGATGTTTTAGTTTGGCATTCGCTAGCTTTCTTCCAACCTACTCCTACATCACAAAACATCGCTTGTCGAGGCATTCAGATAGAGTGAGCTGACTTCTCCTCACTCTCATTTAGTTTATAATGAAATGACAATGCTAGTCATTTAAAACTGAAAAAAAGTTTCCTTAATGATTTTGTAATTTTCAATTAGAGTTATGGAGGTTAGTGTTTTTAAACATTTGAAATCATCAATCAGTCATTGTTAGACCACCATTAGAAACCTACAAGCACTGGACGGCCGTTTCGTCCTGGTATGGGACTCATGAGCAGTGCGCATCCACGACTCCTGCACCTCACAGGATTCGAACCCGGGACCTTCGGTTTTGTGCGCGAACTCCTAACCTCTGGACCACTTGGCCGGCATCTAACGGTGTTCATGTCTAACTCTGATTGATCTAGGGATTTTGCGCTACCTCATCCATTTGTGTTTGTTAGTTACTGACTACACCCGATAGGGTTGAACTCTTCCCACTGGTCACGTCTTCTCAACTAGAACTCAGAGAATTTCCTCACGAAGCTAGTCACTAATGAGCTTTTGTTTGGGGAGTCTCATCAGTGCTGATGGCCTGGTGACTGACGAAATCTCAGCTCGGATACAGAAGGCTCGATTGGTTTTTACCAACCTGCGTCACTTATGGCGTAGGCGTGATATCCGTTCGCTAACCAAAGGGCGGGTGTACTGCGCAGCAGTTCGTTCCGTTCTCTTATATGGCTGTGAAACATGGCCGTTAAGAGTAGAAGATGTTGGTAGGTTACTAGTATTCGATCACAGATGTTTAAGAAGCATTGCTCGTATATCGTGGGACAGCCGAGTAAGCAATGCTGTTGTTAGGAAACGAGTAATATGTAAGGATGGCAGATCAATAGACGAAGTGGTGAAACTTCATCAGTTGAAGTGGTTGGGACATGTGTTACGTATGCCTAACCACCGACTGCCCCGACGAGCTATGTTTTGTAGTGTAGGAGTAGGTTGGAAGAAAGTTAGGTGTGGCCACACCAAAACATGGCAGAAATCCATGAAGTCACTGACAAGTGGACTGAGTCATGTTGGTAGATGTAGACTATCTGGTCGGGGCCCGCGAGATGATATAATCGATTATTAGAGACCCTGAATGGCGTGGCTCAAAACCGTTTGCAATGGCTCAGTTGCATCTGTTCTTTGAGCTCTCTCAAATCCTAATCTTCTGGAATCGTCAGCACCTCTACCTTTGTCTTTCTAACCTTATCTCACTGAATTATACTTCTTGACTAATATGTTCAAACGCTAGTCTTCTTTATTAACAATAATACCTCTACTATCTTTATCACTATGAGATTTGATTTGACATTTGCGTCTCTGTGCTAATAATGTGGTATGGCAACATGAACTTATGTACATACGTACGAAGTTCTACGTTGCAACTGACTGACTGACTGACTAATGAGCAGATTTCACGATATTTTGAATTAGAGTTATGTAATTATCATTTCATATTTAATCAGTCAAATGATTTGCTCATTGTAATCAACACATAATTTTCATTTAATTCACGTTAGACTACTCTTGTTTGGTTTTTCATACTAATATATATATATATATATATATATATATATATATATATATATATATATATATATATATATATATATATATATTTCAAAGTTTAATCTTGTTAAAATTAGTAATGATGAACTTTTGAATTACAGAACTTTTTAATATTTAACAACTACATTTATTTAAACAATAAAAATAGAAAAATGTCGGCAAAAACCTATTTAATGATGTATAGTTGTGAAATATGTTAGAATGTTTATTCAATAACCTAAGAGAATTATTATTTGTAAGTCTAATCCTTATTGGTCGTCTTTACTATCAATGTCACATTATCCGTAACGTTTTATGACCTGGACCCCGGATCGTTAGCCTCTTCTGGACTCGGATCTCGTACTTTCTGGATGTTTGTAGAGAATACATGTCCTAATTCATATCAAGTCGTCTTTTAATGAGGGTTTGGGACGCTCGGATTAGAGTAGCCTGTCATGTTGCCGGATCATCGATCCTCGCTCTCGTTTTCCGACTAAGGGGTAAACTCGTATTAGTTCAAGCATATCAAAATGACATGTGTTTATGTGCGTAACACCATCATCCAGAAGATACAAGTGTTCATTAACAGTTGTCTACGCAAAAATACTTCGGATTCGTTGGCTACACATCATCAGTAACAACCTACTGTGGGAGAGAACAAATCAGATTCCAACGGAGGAAAAAATCAGGAAGAAGCGCTGAAAGTGTATAGGATACTGTTAAGATATTCTCACCAGATATCCTAAGAGTACTATTTTTGGAAGTATAATCCTATTGGTCGATTTCTATTGGTCAAAATTATGGTCGTTTTAACTGTCAAAGTCAATGTTGTCTCTGATTGGTCTTCCGGACTGTTAATGTCATTTCAAATGTTCTTTCCTATTGGTCTTCCTAAACTGTCAATGTCACAGACTTTGCTGCTGTTTCCTATTAGACCTAAATGTATAAAAACTCATTATCTGTAAGACTTCATGATTCCGATTCCGTTTCTTCCTGCCTACCTCTCTTATGTACTCGACCCAATAAACAACTCTATCCCACGTTGTTGCGTTTAGATATATAGGAGATTTAGGAATAGTATTTGGGATATTTGAATTGGACGCCGCTAGGACTGAATAGCTATCTATACGTAGCGGCATTATAACAGATACACACTGCGAAAAGCACCCAACTACTTCACAGGATAAGCTCTTACTTGGAACCCTCAAGGTCAAATAAAAAGAGGAAGACCAAGGAACACTTTACACTGAGTAACGGAGACAGACATGAGAAGAATGAACAAATATTAGACAGAATTGGAAAAGGAAGCCCAGGACAGAGTTTGTTGGAGAATAATGGTCAGCGGCCTATTCTCCATTGGGAGTGACGAACGGAAACAAAAGCTTTACAGGTAATGCGTATTTATACAATTAGGTCGAATAGGAAACATCATCGAAGTCTATGACATTGACAGTTAAGACGACCAATAGGAAGCAACATTTGCAGTGACATTGATAGTCAGGACAACCAATAAGAAACAACATTGGAGCACGTGACATTGAGATATCTACGACGACCATGAAATTTACCAATAGGAATTAACCAATAGGAATTGACCAATAATTCTCTTAGGATATTGTATATTGAATATCCTAACCTTTCCTATTTTCCGACATTTTCAACATATTGACATTGTATCTACTCATGTTCCCGGTTTTGTTTCGTCTTTTTTTTCTGTTAAAAAAAGGTCAATTCACATTTAAAGAATCCGCTTCACTTAGCTCGGGCAAAGAAACATTCTCATTTGAAATACCATTAAAAAATGCTGAGAATAAAATGTCTGTTATACGTGTTGGCATTGGTATATGTTATGATATACGTTTCCCTGAATTATCATTACTCTATGCTAATCAATTAGGTTGTCAATTACTTTTATTCCCAGCTGCATTCAACCCGAAAACTGGTCAGTTTCTCTTGTTTGCTCATGTTTATTTGTTACGCTTTTCTACCTTTTTTTATTTTTTTATTGTGACTATTTGGGGGGTAGTAAAGTGTGGTTCTGACTGAAGCGACCGACTGCTGCCCATGTCTATGACTCAGATGCACTAACCACTCACTTCGATTAGTATATCGCTTTATCCACTTCTAAGCTGTGGAATTCACTTGGCCGCTCATTTTTGCGTTGGGTGTGAGTTAAAACTCAATTTAAAATGTATTAAATTATTGACGGGAATTCGACCAGTATTGGTTAGCATCTGTATATTCCGTTGTCTGGTGAGTATGCTGGATTTCACTGCTAACTACATTCCAACTGTTCTTTGTCAAATTTTATCAGTAATGGCTCCGCCTGTGGACCCTTTGGGGCTACTGCGGATCCCAAGCCCAGATAAAGGTGGAGGGTTGGGATTAGGTTTGGCGACCTCATCCCGCCGAAAACCTAACTCGCTAGAAAAACGCCAACAAGAAGAAAAATAATTCAAACCACATAAACTCTGCTCTTGGTCTTCATTTAGAAGAATGATGACGTCTCATGATGGAAGCCGAGTCCCTTCGGAAGTCACAATTCCGATGCCCCTTCTGAAAAACAGAACCCTTGCACGGTGTGGGCAACCGGGAAGTGACAGTTGCACTCATACCCATAAAAGCTGTTGATTGATTGATTGAGTAATGGCTATTTAGAGACGATCCGCACTCACACACACGCACAGTATGTCCATGAATCAATCGAGACGGATCAAATTTCATTCGGAACAGATATCAACAACATGATAATCCAAACCACTTCAAGTCGAATAAGACTAATTAAAAATCGATTTTCTATACTAGTTTGTTGATTATCATTACAACTGATGATATTCCGGTCAAACTATGATGGACGGATGGCTTCAAATGGGCCAATCATATTTGAGATAAAGTCCTATGTGTTGCGCACAATATTTAAAATGGAACGCTACAATAACTTCTATGTTATTATTGATGAATTAAACATTGGCGATCAATAGAAATTCCTGTTCTAAAATAAAAAAGTGAATTTGAGGTAGTTTGTTTAAATTACTTGATGTTAATTCAGTGAGCTGTGTCAGAAGTGTTTAGTGAAGCGAGATAATATTCTCCCTTGTTAATTCTAAATCTCAATCTATAAGTCTCTAAAGCTTGTAAATAGTAGAATGACATCGCATTGTATTGTCACTGATATAATATCAGTTCGTGATGGAAGAAAACTCTAATCGTAATTTGAAAAACTAACTTCTGAACTCCAAACTTAACTATGAATATTTTACCGTACTAACCTTGTCGCTTCATGAATGGTCTTAGTTGGTAATGAAAATTGTGTCAGGTGAGATAATTTTAACTCCATAACACTAACTAGACTTTTATTAGGTAAATTTAACGTTTTTATTTCACCAGAAGAAATAATTCGATATGTGAGGACTAATTATTCATCAGAGCAATGTTATTATGCCTTCCTCAAGCCTATCACCTGAGCATAGGTCGCCAACTAGCGGATGATACTTCTGGTTTGCGTTTTTTTGTTAGCGAGTTAGATTTCTATGGTTTGGAGGTTGCTAATCCCCATGCCCTACCCTCCCCCTTTATCCGGACTTCGGACCGGCAGTAGTAGTAGTAAGCTTAGAAGGGGTCGAGGCAGAGTTAACTTATTATGTCACTGATGTTTTATGAATTTCAGCTGTTGATTTTTTTCATATAACTAGTCAGCGTGTTTTCTAAAATTGGTCGCTGGTGTTGATAGACCGCTCAAGTTTTGTTAGTATAATTTAATACTTCCACCAGTTTAACAAGGTGTGTGTTTTTTTTGGTACTCCCAAATTTTAGCCAGATAATCTATTTATTTTAAAGTTAGATTGGATGAAAAAATAAGACAGTAATTTTAATGCACTTTTTCATACAGTCAGTAGTAGTGTGGTGCGAGCTACTTATAAGTAGTATGTGACGTGAGTGTAAACGTAATGTCTGGCAGCAGACACCCACCTGTGTTCTTTTTCACTACATTTGGTGTCGCTGCCTGCTCGAAGGAAGGAGCTCCCGTGGCCGAAGGAGTTGGAGGACGGAGATTTGCGGAGCTTCCTGGAGGAGTTTGAGGCCGCGGTGGAGGTGATGGGAGCCCGGGGCGGAGTTGGCGGCGCTGCGGACGCTGCGGGGAGGTGAGGCGAAGGCGGTATACGACAGCCTGGACGGTGCCGCCGGGAAGACGGCGTGGGAGGCGGTCACCGGGTGGCTGACGATGGAGTTCGACAGCCCAGTGGACAGGGAGAAGGCGCCGCAGAGGTTCCGGTTGGCGAGGCTGTCGGCTGGTGATGACCCGTTGGTGCTGGCTGTGGAGCTCACGATGTTTCTGTGCCGTGCCCTGCCAAATATCGATGAGAAGTCGGAGGCACAGTTGTTGGCGTCGCAATTTATCGAGAGTGTGCCTGCCACCGTGTCCCAGGAGCGGAAACTAGTAAACGCTACACGTTGGATTGATGCCATACCCACTCCAGACCAGCGGGCAAGAACGATGACCGAAGTGGTAATCCGGCATATTGTAGCGTGTCACGGAATACGGAAGGTGATATTAGCTGACCGGGGCCCTGTTTTGAAAGTGAAGACAGCTTATTAAAAGGGGAGGACGAGTGTGGTTCGAGCTACTTATAAGTAGTATATGACGCGAGTGTCAACGTAATGTCTGGCAGCAACATATGGGGAAAATCAAGAAAGGAAGAGTTAGAACACAATGGAATCTGTATGAAACGCATCATGAATAGTGACAATGGATTGATGTTTTGCAACAGGAACAGTCCAGTTCGATATGATGAACTGATATTTTGCAAATTAACGATATACGATATGGTTTTCCTATTTTACGCTAAATACAATTCGGTTGCCCCACCCGTGTTCTCGGTCACTACAGTAGTACCCTTGATTATTATTATTATTATTATTATTATTATTATTATTATTATTATTATTGATCGTAACGAATTGACAACGACCATTATTATTGATTAAAATAAAAAGATTCATTTTATGTATATATAAAAATAATCAATGGAACATTAAGAAATAGGAACATGCGCCCCACCAAATTACTCTTGATAGAGATATGCCTAGGAGGAAGGACGTGAACACCTTTTTACATATCTGGGCAGCATCATCGACGAGAAAGGTGGATCGGATGCAGATGTGAGGATTGGCAAAGCAATGGCTGTATTTCTACAATTGATAAATATCTGGAACTTCAAAAATAAATTTCAATCAACACCAAAATCAGAATTTTCAATACAAATGTGAAGACAGTTCTACTGTATGAAGCGGAATCTTGGAGAACTACCAAAGCCATCATCCAGAAGATACAAGTGTTTATTAACAGCTGTCTACGCAAAATACTTCAGATTCGTCGGCCAGATACCATCAGCAACAATGAACTGTTAGAGAGAACAAACCAGATTCCAGTGGAGGAGGAAATCAGGAAGAAGCGGTGGAAGTGGATAGGACACACATTGCGAAAAGCACCTAACTGCGTCACGATACAAGCCCTCACATGGAACCCTCAAGGTCAGATGAAAAGAGGAAGGCCAAGGAACACATTACGCTGAGAAATAGAGAAAGATATGAGAAGAATGAACAAACATTGGACAGAACTGGAGGAAAGGGAAGCCCAGGACAGAGTTGGTTGGAGAATGCTGCTGGTGGGCGGCCTATGTTCCTTGGGGGGTAACAGGTGTTATTTGTTGTTAACTAGTGACAAGTTGTGACCAGTAGAGTTCAACTCTGTTCGGATGTAATGCACTGCTCACTGAAGGCAATGGATAAGGTTGAACAAGACCGTGAATTGATCAAAGTTTGACATTAACACCGTGGTTCAGAGGTTAGGCGTTCAAAGCGTGTAAGACCGCAGCTCCTGGGTTCCCGATTAGAATAACTCACTACTACATTACTGAAAAAAGCGTCAACATTTCTCTCTAAATGTTATAGGGGATTATTCTGTCATTCAATTTCTACCGCAAATAAACCAATTCGACCACAGCTGTGGATACGCTAAATTGTGATCATTTCATACTTGATCAATATAATCCGATCAACATTATTAGTAGTGAATAATACGATATTGATTACTATTCTGATGTTCAACTAATAGAGGAAATGCGCCATTGAGTTAATATGACTAAAGTACTTGGGAACTGATTATACAATATGAGAACTGTGCAGGCATCATTCTTCTCTCAATACCTAGGAAAAGATTCTTCAAACGAAATGTTGTGAAATTGTAGGATATTTACATCAGACACCCCAATTTTGAGATCAGCAGGTTGGATTTCGTAAGGATCAACCATGTACCGACTGCAAATTCGTGCATCGAGGTCAACTCACTGACTCCTTTGAAGTGAAGACCAGCGTTAGGCAAGGTTGCTTACTCTTATATTACTCCAGGAATTGGACGCAGACATGAAAATAGTGAATGAACAACAATTGGATAGAATTGGGAAGGAAGGCTAAGGACCGGGTCAGTCAGTCAGTCAGTCAATTAAAACGTAGAAAACTCGTACATACGTACATCAGTTCAAGTTGCCATTTTCACATTAGCACAGAGATGCGATTGTCACTTCAAATGCAACAGTAGTAGAGGTAGTAAAGATATTAGCAGTACTCGGAGAGATTAGGATTCGAAGATGTTATTGAATAAGTATAATTCAGTGAAATAAGTTTAGAAGGAGAAGAATAGATGTGATGAGGAATTCAAAAGATTAGAATTTCAGAAAACACAACGAGTGGATGTACTTGCACCATTGCAAACGATCTTGGGCCGTGACATGCAAGGTTTTTAACCATCGGTTACTATCATCTCACGGACCCCCAACCAAGTAGTCTACACTTACCAACATGACTCAGTTCAGTTGTCAGTGACTTCATGGGTTTGTGCCATGTTTTGGTCTGTCCGCTGTTTTCTTCCAACTTATTCCTACACCGCAAAACATAGCTCGATGAGGCAGTCGATGGTTGGGCATACGCAACACTTGTCCCAAGCACTTCAACTGATGAAGACTCATTACTTCATCTATTGATCTGCCAACCGTACCTGTTACTCGTTTTCAAACAACTGCATTGCCCACAAAATTCGAGCTATGGTTCAGAGAAACCTATGATCACGGACCGGTTAGTTTAGAGAATATTGATTGATCATTGGGTCTATGTGCTTCATTTGGGGGTTAAAAGGTGTAAGTAAGTAAGCGCGACTGTACAATAGATAGGATCTGCTTAATCTAATTAGCTAGTATTATGCATAGATTACATTAGTTAGTTAGTTCACAATAGTATGTATTATATGATTTTTGATCATGATATTCGTATTTACATAGTCAATTAGACTTCGTCTAACTTTTAAACACTATAATCTAGACGAACAAAAATGTACTCATCATTTGTTTTCTGTTGTACATTCACTCGCTTATCATGTCTAGTAATGATTATGTGTGTGTGCGTGTGTGCGTGAACCGTGTAGTCATTAATTTTTTGATTTACAGAGACCTGGATTCCTGGTATAATTATGTCTATTTTATATGTACGTGTTTCTATTGTTTTGTGTTTTTTCTTGTTCCAATGATCACTTCTACGGCCTCCATCAACATCACCGTCAACATCCCCATCGTCATAAAAACAAACAAACAGGATCATTACATTGGGAATTATTGGGTAGAGCACGTGCTTTAGATACACAATGTTATGTTGGATTATGTAGTCCAGCTTGTAATTTGGAATTAGATTATATTAGTTATGCTGAATCATTAATCACTTCCCCATGGGGTGCAGTGATAGCTAAAGGTGGTAAAGAGGTAAGTGTTTGATGCGTTTGTTTTATTTAACTATTCTCCCGAATTAAAAAACTTCCATAATCAGTTGGGTTTACGCACAACTTAATGATGGCATCAAGTGTTATGATGACAGACAAATATAGTAGCAACGTAGGATGTGACACATATTGTACATCGAGTCAAGTTGGCATGCACACATCATATTTTCAAAGGAGTTGGTTAATGTGTTAGTTTAGTATGCGATTTTTGTGGCTCTCCCAAGGACGTTTCTATCATGTTGTATAAATAAACTCGATTTATGTGCTTGTCAACCTCATATTTTCTGAGTGCTTTTAGAATACACTTTCTACGTCTTGTGAAGACTTCTTCCTCTTCGTAGTGGTTCCTTGGGGAGCTCGGATTAGAGTAGCCAATCGTGTCACTGGATCATTTCTTTCTGTTCTCGTTTACCGACTAAGTTGAAGTCGTAGTAGCATTCAAGCATATCAACTGTTGACGTGCATAACAGTTTGTGATCGATTACAAGAGTTATATCTCTGCTCAATGTCTTCAAATCACAGTGCTCATAATTAGTTGCATTCTGTAATCCAAGTACGTAGTCTGTATAGACTAAGAGAATTTCGTTCATTAGTCAGTAAGTCGATGATTTATTTTAAACTAGGGCTCTCCTAATGCTTCTTACAATCTCAGTCAGTCAGTTACAACGTAGAATTTCGTACATACGTACATACATCATTTCAATTCGCCATACTACGGTGGCACATTGATTCAATTGTCGATTCAAAACCCATAGTGGTAGAGACAGTAGAAGTATGAGCAATGATTGAAGAGATTAGGGTCCGAGGATATTATTCAAGCAGTAGAATCTAGTGAAATGAACTTAAAAAAAAGACAAAGATGAAGGTCATGAAGAATTCGATAGAACACAAAAAAAGTGAATGCACTTGCATCATTACAAACGATCGCTATGATTCAATCCACTTGAAACTAATTCAGTAGAAATGTTTTCAGCACTGTGAATATTCATACGATAACATAATGAATATTCATATATATATATATGGATTACGGGGTTGTGAAGATTGTTAAGTTACACATTTTTGAAACCATGAGTCGATCAATGTTAGACCACTATTAGAAACCTGGAAGCACTGGACGGCCGGTTCGTCTTGGTATGGGATTCCTCAGCAGTGCGCATCCACGACTCCTGCACTTCCGAGGAGTCCCGTACCAAGACGAAACGGCTGTACAGTGCTTCCAGGTTTCTAATGGTGGTGGTCTAACATTGATCGATTCATAGTTTCAAAAATGTGTAACTTTACAATCTTCACAACCCCATCATGCAAATTACCTGTGCTCACTAGTGAGTGACTAGCTTCGTGAGGAATCTTCTCCGAGTTCTAGTGGGAAGACGTGACCACTGTGAAGTTCAACCTGTTCGGGTGTATGCAGTGTCTCCTGAAGACTGTGTATGAGGTTGCGCAACTCCGTGAATTTGATCAAGTTAGACATTAACACCGTTGGATACGGGCTCAATGGTCTAACGGTTAGGGCGTTCGCGCACAATACCGAAGGTCCTGGGTTCGAATCCTGCGAGGTGCAGGAGTCGTGGATGCGCACTGCTGAGGAGTTCCATATCAGGACGGAACGGCCGCCCAGTGCTTCCAGGTGTATGTGTTTCAAACAATTCGATCATCCGTCTACTTACTAGTTATGAATATTTACTAATTTGAGTGAAAAATAATAAGAGGTCAACAAATTAGTAGACACAAATGAAAACTAAACTAAGAAAAGTAATGACCAGTAAAGAAAATTATTATGAAACTTACCACTCTAAATAAACCAGGGTAGATTTATGATAAGAACAAAGTAAAAATGAAAGATTTGAATTTTTTTTAGTATGATTTACGGCCTCAATACACACATTTTAGTATAAATAAATAAGCCCTTTGATAATTTTTGTATACACAAATGTCTGATCTGTTTCAATGACATATATATTTGATTTTATTGATATTTGTGGCTGCACAGACATGTAAATTATTAAACACAATGAAGTTTTTTCTGATGTAATCATTTACAATGACATTGATGTTTGTTGTGAAACATGAACTTTCTTTCGCCAAGTAATAAATAAAATAACCCTTGTTACATCATCATAGTACGCGTTTGTTTCAACATGAAACTAACTATTCGACTCAACGCTTAAAAAAAGAAAATGATAAGCTGATGTGAAGACAAGCTTTTTGAAGTTAATTTGTACTTAAATTTTTCTTATTGGGTAATCGCTCATAATGTCCCGTCCGAAGCTGCTACCTTGACGTGGTGCTTGTCGGGCTTGCCTATTGTGATGACCCAACCGAGCTATATTGGCTGGAACTTATGTTCCTGAAGGTTCCACCATGCCAGGCAGGTCGTTTGGAGAACAATGAGACTAAAATCAGCTGCTACTCAAGGTGTGAGAGCGAAGTCGTACTGCTGACTGTGATGGAGCGGTGTGACAGCGGCAGTAAGGTGTTTCCCTCGGACAACCAGCATCTGCAGCGATGCTGCCTTCTTACAAGGAAGAAAGGAGTTAGAAAAGGTCGACCCTAAAAATGTCACACCTCACCCTACCTCACGGTAAGGGTGCTTACTAAGGGCTTTCAAGAGCGGCCTCAAGCAGTTGTCCCTTGGACTCTGCAGACACGCACCCAGGTCTCCAAGACCAAGACTAATCTATCTTCCTTTTCAGGTTTCCAAAGAAACAACCTTCCAAGGTGTGGGCAGCCGGGAAGTCATAACCGCCCTCATACCCGTAACTAAATGCTCATAATGTCCTCTATATATACTGCGTTCCATGCTAGTGTGCTTGATAGTTTTAGTGAAACTAATAGTTTTGATCTGACAGTAGGAAAAAATAACATTATTATGATGTTGCGTAAGACTGTGGATTCATCGAAGTTAAACTCGAACACCGTTAAGTGCCGGCTCATTGGTTCAGAGGTTGAGAGTTCGCGCGCAAGACCGATGCCACTGGGTTCGACTCACATGAGTAGCGGGAGTTTTGGATGTGTACTGTTGATGAGTCCCATACCAGGACGGAACGGCCATTCAGCAGTTCTTCCGGTTTTTCCGAAAGTGGTTTAAGATTGATCATAATCGATGGTTAGAGACCTTGAATGACATGGCTCAAAACCGTTTACAATGGCGCCGGTGCATTTATACTCTGTGTTCTCTCAAATCCTAATCTTCTGGATTCTTCAACAACTCTAGTTTTGTCTTTCTAACCTTATCTCAATGAATTTTACTTCTTGAATAATATCTTCTAATCCTAACCTCTCCGACTACGGCTAATACCTTTATTTCCTCAAGTACTATTGGATTTGAATTGACAATTACATCTCTGTGCTAAGATGGTATGGCAACATGAACTGATGTACTTACGTACGAAGTTCTACGTTTCATCTGACTGACTGACTGACTTAAGATTGATCGATTCGTGGTTTCAAAACTAATATTATTTATTTATTCTCTGTAGCGTATCAATTGTTCTATAAATATTCGAAGTTTTTCTAACACTTATAAGTGATTAGATTAACTAAATTGCACTAGTTTACTTGAGCAATACAATATACCTTAGATTATCTAAACACTTCACTTAAATAATACTGTTTTACGTGGTGTAACCTACAAATTATGATATCCAGTCCCCTAAATATTGTTTATTTTATGGAAAAAATGTCATTTAAAACACTTCGTATCATCGATCCCAACTTGTCACTTTGATTGATCAACTGAAATATATATGAAAACGACAATCGAATGATTTCATTTCTTCAGTGATAGTCTAATGTTGTAGATAGATAGGTTTGTGATTTGAATGAAACCACAAAATAGCAGTTATTCAACATTGCTATGTTATTAATAGATTGTTGGTTTGATTCTAAAGTATTTTTTAAATTCATGAATCGATCAATGTTAGTGTTAGGATATTCCTCCCAATATCCTAAGAGTTAAATTCTGTTGGTTAATTTCTATTGGTCGTCCTAACTGTCAATGTCACATACTTCAATGTTGTTTCCTTTTCAACCTAACTGTATAAATATGCATTATCTGTAACGTTTCATGACGCGGACTCGGATCCTTAATCTCTTCTGACCTCGGACCTCGTACTTTCCGAATGTTTGTAGAATACATGCCTTACTTCATAGCAAGTCTTCTTTTAATGGGGCTTTGGGAAGCTCAGACTAGAGTAGCGTGTCGTATCGCCGGATCATCGATCCTCGCTCTCGTTTTCCGACAAAGGGGTAATCTCGTAATAGTTCAAGCCTATCATTGACGTGTTTACATGCATGCGTAACAGTTAGATCACCGTTAGAAACCTGAAAGCACCAGACCGCCGTTTTGTCCCGGTATGGGATCCATCTGCAGTGCACATTAATGACTTCTGAGCGTCGCAAGATTCGCACCCAGAACCTTCGGTCTTGCACGCGAATGCCTAACCCCTGAACCACTGAGCCGGTATGCCTTTAACCTTAATGTCTTGCGCTGGTTACGACTTCTCACTTGAACTCAAGGAAGATTCTTCACGCAGCTGAGTCACTAGTAAGCCAGGTAATTTGTATTATGGGGTTGTGGCAACTCAACAATCTCCACAACCCCATAATTTAACGTATTTCCATAATTTTATTATTGTCATTATTCTTGTTATCATAAACGCATTCCAATAATGATCGAAACTCACAATTTCTATTTTTTTTACAGGAAGAAATAATCACAGCAGATTTAGATTTTTCTGAATTGAAATGTGTTCGTGAAAGTATTCCAATCGGTCGACAAAGACGTTTAGATATTTATAATACACCGAAATTAGTGAAAAAACAATCGTAGAAAAAATATTTCTCTTCCTACTGTTTTTATTATTATTGATTCAATTCGATTTGTGATATATATTTTTTTGACTGTTAATCAATCATTCTGCACTTTACAAATTTTTACATTGAATTATGTATTATTTACACACACAATGTTACTTTTGTTTAATATGAATAAAGAAAATATTTTTCAGGCCGACGATATTTTAACTTAAATTCTCTTTATGTGAGCTTTGTATCCGACTTGATGCAATGCTGCAGTGTGTCTTTGCTCTCTCTTGAACAAAGTTTGTATGCAGTTGATTTTGTGGGTTCTTGGGTTGTTGCTATCATAGTTTGAGAATCATGTCTGTGTGGGTTGGTTTCTGAAATACTTGAGTTTTCAGTTTTTCTGTGTTAGTTCTGGTGATTAGTACATCCAGGAATGATAGACTGTTGTTTGATTCCTTTTAATGTCATCGAAGACGTTGTTGATCTGATTGTAGATGTTCTCCAGCTCGTTCTTTTTGATGATGACGAATGTGTCGTCTACATAGCGAACCCACATTTTTGGCTTGATCAGTGGGAAAAGTTGACGCTTCTAGTCTCTGCATTACCGCTTCCGCGATGAGTCCTGATATTGGTGTTCCTTTTGTTTGTTCGTACGTTGTTAAGCATAGATCGATGAGTTCAAGCAGACTTTGACTCTGAAGCTTTGTATATTTGTGTAGATTTGTGTCGTTGATGAGCAGGGGCAGGGAAAGAGTTTCCTTAGCTAAGCTTGGCTCTATTGAGGTGAATAAGGCTGTTACGTCAAAGGATATCATCGTATCGTCGTTGTCGATTTGAATCCCCTTGAGTTTATCCAGGAATTGTCTGGGATACATAATGGAGTAGTTGGATTCATCCACCAGATGTTTTAATATCCTTGAAATTTCTCTTGATAAGTTGTAGGTCGGGGTACCGGGGAGGGATACAATAGGGCGTAGTGGAATGTCGGGTTTGTGGAGTTTCGACCTACCGTACAATCGTGGAATTACTGGTCCATTGAATTTCATTCTGCATTGATCTTGTTTTGATATTTGTCCTGCTTTGACAAGCCTGTTTAGGGTCCTTGAGATTCGGTTTGGACAACCAAAAACATATTTGATGCAGTCCAATTGTCGGTCATGATTATCGAATAATAAATTACACGCAGTTATGGATCGCTAGGTTTCCTGTGGTTAAGGTTTGAGGTTATTAATAAAGATTCATAAGATCAACGACAGAATATGGTTGGTGTTAAGGAACTATTAACTGAGTCAAGAAGCGATTGTTGTCTCTATTGAGTTTGATGGTAATCTTGCTATAAGGTGAAAACGTAGATTGTGAATTTAGAAGGGGAATAGAGTTTATGGGAAAACAATCATAAATATTGTTTGTATATTTGAATAGTAATAAATTGGTAGGTAAATTAAATAACTTCTGAACTACGTTTTAACATGACTATCTTTAGCTATAGCTGGGTCACAACCCTTTTGTAGTCTGGTCGCGACATTTATTAAACATAATGGAGGGCTAGTGAAGCTCCAATTAATCTTAAAAATTACACAAACCCTTTGGTATTCCATTAAGAAAACAAGACATGTGAAATAAAGGAGTAAAGGACTAAGTTTTATGAACAAAATTTTTATCCTCAAAAAGGAGATGGATGATACAAAATATTAACTCTTCATTCAGTCATTTTTAAGCTGTTATATGTACTTTAAGGTATTTTATGCAACTATCTCCACTCAGGAAACTCACACTTTGCTGGTATTAGGCGTCACTCCTAGGTCACAAACTTGTCAATTTCATTTATTTCTACATCTTTCATATACTCGGATTCGTTTTTGACCATTCATAGCTATTCAGGAATTAGTGCACTTTCGAGAATACAGATGTTCATGTAGTCGTGATTTTGTATCTATCATTACCGGTTGAACAGAGTACCTATTGTCGTGTTTCGTATGGTCCAGGTTATTTTTGGAGTATCGGACGAATTGTGCGCTTAATCAGGACCAGAAATAACCAACCACTACGGAATGAAATCCACGAGCAGATAATTTTGCATTTTGACTATTATTCTCTATTTGCTCGGGTTGAGGCTTTGAAGCATGTCCATATCAATTGTTGGTATTGACGTGTCTGCAATAAAGAAAAGTGCTTTTTGTAAGGCTTGTCACTGGTGCTTTAGTACCAATAGCAACTAAGTTTGTCTCGTCCTCGTGGTATAGAGGAAGACCTACTTCTTCTAGGGCAATGTTAGAGGAGTTTTGACTTTCTGCAATCATGATGGAATTTAAGGAAATATGTGATAGCATTACAGAGATCCCTAGCTTCGATTTGTATAGGACGAGGTTTTTGTTTGACAGAACAAACTTCCATCCTTGTGTCTTTGTCGGTATCCAGAACCTGATCAGCAGATGCAGCCGTTTTGGAAAGAGATAAAATTGGCTTGCACCTGTTGAGGAAGCTTCAATAGAAAGAGTTTTCCTCAGTGGTCTTACTCGAAATATAGTTGGCCATTAACCTTTTTCAGAAGTAGCAGCACTTCTGCTACCAAGTCTTGTTTCGTTTCGAAGTTGTGGAATAGCTTGTAAAACCTTTGTCGTTCGGTTAGGCTACTACATTTTAGGATGTCTTTTTTACGGTATAATAAAGTTCAAGATCATCACTGGTAAACGCGCTATGTGTCTCAGACTCTTCATAATGCTTGATAATGTAAATTTACTGATGTCGAGGCTGATATCCTATGTTTCCTACTCACTAGCCTCTTGCTGTTCACATTATGTTGGTTGCTCTATTCTACCACATCTACCTATTAAGCTCAATTTCAGAAGTCCAAGGGGCAGACCATAAAGACAATACGCCTTAACAACAATAAAAATAGAATGTCTAATAGAAGTAGAACACTTTACGATCATGTTAATATTTCGAACATGGTAAAAATCTAACCAGGTTTGTAAATTATCCATTTTTCGCATTACTCTACGCTTGTTTAACTGTTAATTTCACCGCACAGTATCGAATCAGGACGCTTCATCGATGATAATTTCATGCGAAGGTCAATCAGTAGCTTGATTTGTACCTTTCAAGTAAGCACACCTTACAATTTACATGTGTATACATCTAGTCTCGGAAGCTTCACTCTTCCTTTCATCAGCAGTATTGTAACGATCAACAATGAAGTGTAGACCTAATGAACAGTTGTCAATGTGACTTCGTCTTCTAAATGATACCCTTTTCTTATAACGGAAGGTAATTTTTATCCTGTTTCAGTCCAGTGTACTTTTCAGTAGTTTCATCTGTCATTAATCCGCGGGGTAATTTCATAAAGTCTTATTACGTATCTAGAAGTAATCACATGACAGTAAACATACATATACAGTTTTACGGAAATCTCAACACACATGAAAGGAACAGAAATTACCAAGTGAAGTATAAACATCTGGGATTTCAGCTTGCGAACGAACCATCACAAACCTTTGTGTGGTTGATGTGTTTCCCATAATTTAAGCGAATCCATCTTTTATCCATATTACACTGCAATTCTTTTTCGCGTTCATGCAAACTGAATTGTACTTTCTCGGCTGAAATGGTCTGTTATTGTCAAATGAAACGATGGTTTTTTATACGATGGATTTAATGAAAGAGCATCCTTGCTTTTCATTAATTGTACTGTAGGTAGAATCTAAACAAACTACTTAGGGATATTTGTGATTTAATCCTATCTGCTCATAAAAGTTGCAACGAACCCTAGCGACAAGTCCACTGTCATAATACTCGATTATTTCATCGTTCGCTCATAACATACTAAGTACTCAATTCGTGTACTGCAACCAAAATATATAATTACACATGACCACCTGTGAGACGGTGGAGAAGATTTGTAGCTCAGGTGGATGATTGTAATGGTAGTTTTTGGTTCTCTGAACGTTTACTTATGTAGCCGTGATCTTCTAACGATATTTTTCTTTATCATCTTTTATTACTTCATATACAGAAGGAGATTTTGACACCAGCACCATCAAAATTTTCTTATTTTCGAAGCCATCCTTCCACTTCAAAGATCACTGACCGTCTATGGGCAACGACCTGTATGATTGTAACGCATTCTGAATGATTTTATCACATATCTTTTGGGTTGGAAAGTTACGCGAAATTATAATTGACAGTCCTGAAATGTGGACCTAATACGTCACTTGCAGTTTAAAATTAACAGAACTTTCTGGTAAATTTATGACCACATGGTATATGCTTATAAACGAATATAAACTGTAACACCACGAAACTGTATTAAAACCCTCTGTACTCCGGTAATTCGCTTTTAACATGAATTAAAATGGTATAATTGGTCGACAGAGCGGTTACACCTTTTTCTGATTCCTTCATGAAGTTCAATTGTCGCTATTTCGTGGTAAGACCAACTTGTTGCAACGTAATACCCACATGGAATACCATATCTCGTGAGCACGAAGCGTCACAAAAATACCGACTACGAAAAGTAGGAAAGTCAGTCTATGTTGCTTGAAAAGATGTGACTTGGATGTAGAGTAAGACTATCTTAACGGGAGAACATTGAAAACCATTTTCATCTAACTAACCTATAACATTTCAATTACAGGAGAATCAGAGGAGATCTGATTATGGCGTACAACATATTAAGTACGCCAAACCATCTTAACGTGAGCGCCTTATTGATGCATCACGATTAAACCCCTCGATCCAGTCCTCGAAAAACTGCGCATCAACAGCGAATACTCAGGTTTATACACACTTTTTCTCAATAAGAGTCGTTTAAACTTGGAATGCTATCCCAGCCCACGTGACCACAGCCCTCTCAGTGGACAGCTTTAAGAGGAGACTTGATAAACCCCTACTCACATGCAGATTATCATTTCCCTAATGGTCATGCATGTCTTGAGACCTGCTAGTTGTTATTATTGCCATTTCCTCGTATCAATAACTTAATCTATCTACCTTACTATCTCTGTTTTCTCTCTCTCGCTTACACTCTAGTCCCCTAGCACAATCTTTACTACGATCTTATAAACTAAATTATCCCCTATTTGCTTAGTCCTGAAATCCTACTCTTAAAAGCATTAGAATTTTCTCCTTATTATTCTCCATAATGCAACTAAGTGACCTTCAGTCCGGTAATGTTATAGCTTCTGGCATCTAGAAACCTTACTGCTCTGAAACAAACGTGTTCATTCAAATCATGGGACATACAAACTCACAAACAACTACCAACTGACCAGAACATACAACACTGCTAAACTGATCATCGTTGGATAGATGATGATTTCACATATACCTAAACGTTGCCCGAATGATTACATCACATCACATTGCACTTATCAGTTTACTTGTTTCTGTGAACACACATACATAGGGAGGAGTAATCGGACTTTGCAATCAGGAGTTATGGAGCATGTGCCTAAGTGACTTCAGATGATCTGATTGGCGTTGGAAATAGAAAACCATGTTCATCGATCGCAAAACACATAACTGAGACAGGGCATAAGATTGACATCAAGACAATCTTCAAAACATAGTATATAAATGTTGAAGGACGAATTTTGAGGTTTATGGGGGTCTTGGCTATTAGAAAATTTAAACCCCTCTTATGTGTGCAGAAACAATCTGTAATAACTTCGAATTTACCTTGGTAATCTTTAAGCCTGGGATAATGTGACAATTTTCCTACCCTTTCTTATTCTTTTCATATTACGTTAATTTTCTCTCTCCTTTATTTACAGTTATCATCCTATGTCTATTTGAACTTTTATTGAATTGAATTTTCATTGATATTGATATAAAATGCTTTGAAAAGTAAATATGTGTGACCAGATTGTTCGAAATGTATAGCTGAAATACATCACAATTTTTCAGATCAATTAAGTCTTCTCACTGTTCTTTCAAAATGACTAGATTTAGGGACTCGAATGGATAGACCCACATCCATTGGACACTACCTAAATCCTGGAGCTTTACCGAAGGAACAAGAATCGAGCTCAAGGAAATCGACTTGTTTATCCTAGCTTGTGAAAAATATATTGATAATTGGATAGTGTTTGCCGAATATCTAACCCTTCAAGGTCGCTTGGACTGAAGAGCGGGTCGCTTTGAAAGCACCTTACGTTTTTACCGTGTTTTAAGTGAGTAAACTTTCACTTAGACAGGAATGATTTGTATTTCATATTTTGTCCTTATATTTATATTTAGAGCTTTAATTATCTTTATGTTGCTCACTATCATTAGTTCTCCTTGTATATTTATGTAATAATTCTGTTCACTTAAGTGTTTACAATCCCAGGTCCTAATACTGTTTTCGATCGTACTACGAGTTACTCTAACCGGAAAACCATGTCATGAGTACAGTTCCATAGATAGCCACGGACTGTTTGCATCAAAAGCAAATGCAAATATAGACACTAATAGGGAAATCCTACTGACCATCTTTGTTCAGTTTTTACCTTTGAATGCATTTCTACGGTCTCCGTACTGTAATTCTTTTGTTTTCACGAAGGCAGTAAGTTTTGTATCATAGATTAACAGATACTAACTGCTTTTATTTGGAGTATGTTTCTCCGTTCATTCTTTCTTACATGTCTTTCTCTCTCTCGTTCTACTTTATCATTATTTTGTGTATGAGTGGCTCATATCTAGATTTTCTACAGTGCTTGGCTAGTCTTAATAATGGTATATATGAAAAATGCTGAAAAATACGAAAAATTTTGATATAAGTCATTATGGCCAGATCACTTATTTTCAATTCATTTCAACTTGCTATGTCCTTGACCTCAGGTGGGATTCAGTTCTGTTGACTGTTAGGTTTTGTGGCAGTGTCTTTCATTTCAAGGTGTGCCAGGGAATTTCATTTAACTTTCTACAGACTACTGGAGCACTACTAGTCGATTCAGAACTTCTGGTGAAGTGTCATCGGAATTGATCACGTCATGTAGTGTATGTTAGGGGTTTCTTCTTTACCGTTTCATTTCATGCTTCTATGGGTTAATACACGTCATCTGACTTCTCGAGGGTCGAACTGCCCGAAGATTCACTTGTTGACTTAGAATACGCAGATGACAAGGCTCTTCTTGGTGAAGATTCTGACAAAATGCATTCAGCAATAATGCTAGCACATTTGGGGTAGGGTTCTCCCCCTCCATATGCAGACTGCTGCTTCAGGATCGGCTTGCGTCGACGCCTGAAAGTGTTATAGAGTGAATCAGTTCAATGTGTCGACCGGTTCACTTATCTTGGGAGTCTCATGGGTGGTGATGATCTGTATACCTGACGGAATCGCAGCATGGATACAGAATGCTCGACTGTCTTTTGTCAACTTACATCACTTGTGGCGTAGGAGAAATATCCGTCTACTCGATGAATAATGAGTTTTCTGCAAACCAGTTCGCTTTATGGGTGTGGGACTTGGTCATTAAAAATTGGGTATATTCGAAGGTTACTAATATTCGGTTATAGGTGTCTCCGAAGGATTGATCGTGTATTCTGCAGCATCTGAGTAAGCGGTCCTGGGATTAAGAAAGGGGTACTTTGTAAAGATAGCGAATTGATTGATGAGGTATTAAATCTTCGTCTAACGTGGTAGTTGTAACGTTTCGTTCATCCAACTCCCCCTTCCCTCGAAAGGTGATATTCGGTGTAGAAGCAGACTCAAGGAAAGTTTGAGGTGGCCAAACCAAAACATGGCATTAGTCCATGCAGTTATCGACAGTCGGACTGAGCCATTTTAGTAGTTAAAAACCACTTTGTACACGTGATGAACGTAACCGGTGGTTAGAGATTTTGAATAACATTGCTCAAGATCATTTGGAATGGTGCAGTCGTACCCATTCTTTGTCTTCTTCCAAATCCTAAGCTTCTCAATTCATCATAACGTTTTTGAAGTTCGTTTCATTATTTAATCTTATCTTTGATGCCTAATCTTTTCCATTACCACTAATACTGTTACTACTTCTACTGCACTGACTTAACCTGACAATCTCGTCTCTCTATACTAATGAGGTACAACAACTTCAGTCAGTCAGTCAGTCAGATGCAACGTAGAACTTCGTACGTAAGTACATCAGTTCATGTCGCCATACCACATCAACACAGAGATGTAATTGTCAATTCAAATCCAATAGTAAAAGAGGTAGTAAAGGTATTAGAAGTAATCGGAGAGGTTAGGATTAGAAGATATTATCTATGAAGTATGATTTAATGAGAAAAGTTTAGAAGCTGCTACCTCCCGACCCGACCGTAGCTGCTACCTTGACGTGGTGGTCGGGCTTGCCTATCGTGATGACCCAACCGAGCTATACTGGCTGGAACATATGTTCCTGCAGGTCCTACCATGCCCGGCTGGTCCAGTGGAGAACGATGAGACTAAAAGCAGCTACCCAAGGTCTGAGGGCGAAGTCGTACTGCTGACTGCAGAGGGGTGTGACAGTAGCAGTAAGGTGTTTCCCTCGGACAACCAGCATCTGCAGCGATGCTGCCTTCTCATAATGAAAGAAGGGTTAGAAAAGGTCGACCCTAAAAATGTCACACCTCACCCTACCTCACGGATTTCCGTCTCCTTGGGTAAGGGTGCCCACTAAGGGCTTTAAAAGAGCGGAGCTAACACTAAAAACTTCTCATAAAAAGGCCGTGCGTGACCGGCCTCAAGCAGTTGTCCCTTGGACTGTGCGGTCACGCTCCCAGGTCTCCAAGACCAACACTAATCTATCTTCCTTTTCAGCTCCCTCAAGAAACAACCACCCTCATACCCATAGCAGCACGAGAGACCAAATTGGTCGAAACCAAATCCTTCCTACACCCACACATGCCTCTTGTCTCTCCACAACTAACGGTACAACAACTTGGTACATACGCACTACTTCACCACTTCATCAGTTGATGTCATCCGTACCTAGTACCCTTATCGTAACAACAGCATTGGTTACTCGATTATCCCACGATATACGAGCAATGTTTCGAAGATACCTATAGTCGAATAACAGGGACCTACGAATGTCCTCTATTCTTAGTGGCCATGTTTCACACCCATACAGTAAAACGGAGCGAACTGCTGCGTAGTAGACTCCTCCTTTGATTAGTTAACGGATATCTGTCTTTTCACTTCTTTAGTGATCTTAAAATCTACTATTTTACATTCAAACTAATACTTTTCAAATTTGTAATCCTTACCAAAATGAGTTAATGTTAGTTTGAAACAAGTCCTAATTTGTTTGCCAAAAATAACAATTAGACATGATGATAGCTGACAGTGGAACAAAAGTTACTTTGTTATCTGCCTGGAATTAGACAGTTTAGCTTTACCTATTTGCATACTGAACTCATAAATTTTTTGAAATTTTCTTCCTTTCATTCAAACAAATACAAGAATTTTGAACGCACCAGTCAGTCAGCCAGCTACAACTTAGAACTTTGTACGCACAGAGAGATCGATTTGTCAATTCAAAATCCCATAGTTAGTAGAGGTACTAGCGATTTAAACACATAACTCGAATGAATTTTGATTTCTTTGACAATCTATCCTCTTGTTAGATAATGAATACTAATACAATGAGTTTTATGTCGACCACTAGCTTTTGTGCAATTTTCACATCTGATTTTGTTGTAACGCTACTACGTATAGCTAGCTCTTCAGTCCTAGCGGCGTCCAATTCAAATATCCCAATACGACCCAAAAATGCTATTTCCAAATCTCCTCCTATATGTCAGAACGCAACACCGTGGGATGAAGTTCATTTGGGTCGAGTACAGAAGAGAGGTAGGCGGCAGGAAGAAACGGAATTATTCAGTCTTTCAGATAGTGCGTATTAATACATTTAGGTGGTCGAATAAGAAAGAGCATCAATGTCTGTGACATTGACAATCCAGATGACCAATAAGAGACAACATTGAAGTATTTGACCTTGACAGTTAGAACGATCCTAATTTTGACCAATAGAAATCGACCAATAGGATTGTACTTTTAAAAATAGTATTCTTAGGATATTTGGTGAATATCCTAACAATTTCATATATTCGCACAAAAACAAAGGTGAGAGTATTCATTAGCTCAGAAAAAATCACAAAAAATTGGTCATTCTTTAAATATTTATCTATTAGTTTTATGTGTATCAGTCATTTTTGATGATTAACCGTTGTATCGTGTTCTGCTTTTTTTTCTTACACTTTTATATCAAGACGTGAAAAAATATTTTCATGCTAATTCATGGATATTGAAGATTTATCTACTGAACATGATAGACTGGAGACAGATTCAACTGTATTAGTAAAGAAAAGATTTCGTAATAAAAAACAACAGATTTCAGAAGATCTATGTCTTAATAGTTATCTACCTGGTAAGTGTTTCTATCTATCTTCTCTGTATGATTTTGATTTATGCAATAAATGTTTTCTGTAGCTTTCACAATTTCTAGGTTGAATCATCGATATACTACTTGCTTATTTACGGCTGCCATTAAACGTGAGCTCTAGGATCCCGAAGGAATAGATGGCCTATAAATCTATCATAGGACACCGGCTACTATGAGACTTCAATTCCAGGACGTTGCTCCAAAGCCTTGTGCACTTAAAGCTGTAGGTTGGCCTCCTAAGTAGAACATCTGCTTCAATTTAGATACTCGGATAGTATCCCATTGTATACACAAATTGCATGACTTATTTGGTGCATACTGATATGCTTGAAACTATTACGAGTTCACCTTAGTCGGTAAATGAGAGCAAATACAAATGATTGAGCCACACGTAGGCTATTCTAATCCGAGTGTCCCAAGGCCCCACTAAGTAGAGGAAGAAGTCTTGACACGACATAGAAAGTGTATTCTACAAGTACCCAGAAAATATAAGGTTTTCAAGCACACAAATCGAGTTTATTTATGCATGATAGAAATGTCGTTGGGAGAGCCACAAAAATAGCGTACTAAAATAATAATATATCAACCAATAACAGTCAAGGATTTTCCGGGAGGGGGAAGTAATCTCATGGTTAACTGATCAGCCTATGCTTGAAAACATAAAAAATTCAAAAATTAAGGCCTTTATCAAGTGAGTTGTGGGAATGTAACGTCCCCAACACACACACACACTCACACACATTTTGATGCTCCTTTGTACCAGTAGTTATTTCAAATCTGAACCTTGATAATACATTCTATTCGGTCATTTCACTTGGCTGTTAATGACCTTCTCTTTTGTTTGGTTTTTGTCAGCCTACTGATATTTCTAAATCGAGATGTTTTGGTCCCATATCCTATGTGCTTTTTCATTTCATGGTTTACTAATCAATGGTGGTGTAGGAGTAGGTTGGAAGAAAGTTAGGGGCGGCCAAACCAAAATATGGCACAAATCCATGAAGTCACTAACAAGTGGACTGAGTCAGGTCGGTAGATGTAGGCTATCTGGTTGGGGTCCGCGAGACGAAAGTCACCAATGGTTAGATACCTTGAACGACATGGCTCAGAATCGTTTGCAATGGCGCAGGTGCATCCACTCTTTGTGCTCTTTTTAATTCTAACCTTCTGAATTCCTCATAATCTCTATCTCTCTCCTTCTAAATTTATCTTACTGAATTATACTTTTCGAATCATATCTTCACTCCCTAATCTTCTCCATTACTTCTAATACTTCTACTATTGCTATCACTCTTGTATTTGAACTGACAGTTACGTCTCTGTGTGCTGATGTAGTATGGCAACCTGAACTGATGTACTTACACGTACGAAGTTCTGCGTTGTATCTGTTGTATCTGTCTTATTGACCAGTAAGTAATCTTAGGCGTTACAACAATATTTCTCATTAATAATATGGTATGCTGTAATGATAAAATGTAAGAAGAACCAACTGCATCTTTCAAGGTTAATAATATTTGACATGATCAGTGTGTGTGTTAGGATATTCATCCACTATCCTAAGAGGATTATTGGTCAAATCCTATTGGTCAAAATTATGGTCGTTTTAATTCTCAAAGTCAAATAATTAAATGTTGTCTTTCATTGGTCATCCTGACTGTCAATGTCATTTCAAATGTTACCTCGTATTGGTCGTCTTAACTGTCAATGCCACAGAATTCGATGCTGTTTCCTATTCGTCCAAAATGTATATATACGCATTATCTGTAACGTTTTATGACCAGAACCAGGACCAGGGCTCAGTCCCGGATCCCTAGTCCGAAGTCCTAATTCACTTCTGGATTCGGACCTCGTACTTTCTGGATGCTTGTAGAATACAAGTTCTACTTCATATCATGTTTTCTTATTTTTTACTAAATATGTGGGTTGGGATAATCGGATTTGAGTAGTATGTCGTGTCACTGGATCCTCGATCCTCGCTTTCGTTTTCCGACTAAGGGGTAAACTCGTAATAGTTCAAGTATATCAAGTTGACGTGTTTACATGCAGGCGTAACAGTGTGTCTATTGGTTGAGGTGTATTTATAAATCGATTGTATTTTCTCGATTCGAATTTTCTCTAGAAAAATTTCATGTTTTTGTACAAACATGGGGTTGTGCACATAATACTAGTGATAGTGAATACATGACTGGACTATTAGCTAAATATGGTTATCAAGTTACCCTAGATGGTTTACAATGTATAACAACCAATGGTTGTGAATCAGAGGCAGACATTATCACTAATACTGCATCCGATTCAGTTTGTGATTGTCAAAACAACATCGATAATCATCAATGCTGTTCAAAAGAGAACCTTCCGCCAAAGCGAAAATCATCTGTCTTATCAAATGGGGATGCAAAGATGAATGCTGATATTTGGATTTTAAATAGTTGTACAGTGAAAGGTCCAGCCGAAGATCATTTTCGTAATGCTGTGCTAGAAGGAGTGAAACTTGGTAAACGTGTTGTTGCTGCAGGTTGTGTACCACAAAGTCGACCAGGTGCAGATTATTTAAAGGTATGTAATATGGTGTATTGGTCTTTTTGTAGTTTTTTTTTTAAAGATTTTATGGTATTTACTTTATGATTTTCCATGGTTCCCCGTAATTTGAGAATACTTTATATCGTTTTTTCTCGTGTAGTATTATCTTACGTCTACTCCCCATCTGTCTTCTTTGTAAGAATACAAATCATTGTGTACAATAGCTATCGGATTGTTTTCAACTATCATGCCAAACATTGGAAAATCGAACATTTTATGAAGAGTAATTTTTAAGCTGTGGGGAATATGATTTAGAAGATCACAATACCTTAGTGTGGATCCTACTAATAGTATCGTACCTTGTTTTGATATTCAGAGGCTTGACTATAGCTTCTGCTTAGTATAGTAGGTTCACAAATAGTGATAGGTAGTGAAGTAATCTAGCGGCATGTGGACCGTTTCACTTATTTGGATAGTCTCATCAGTGCCAGTGGCCTGGTGACTGATGAAATCTCAGCACGGATACAGAAGGCTCGATTGACTTTTGTCTACCCTTTTGTCAACCTACGTCACTTATGGCGTAGGCGAGATATCCGTTTGCTAACCAAAGGACGAGTGTACTGTGCAGCAGATCGCTTCGTCCTACTGTAGGGATGCGATACGCGGCCGTTAAGAGTAGACGACATTCGTAGGATACTAGTCTTCGATCATCGATGTCTCCGAAGCATTGCTCTTGTATCGTCGGACAACTGAACAAGCAATGCTGTTATTAGGAAATGGATGCTAATTAAGAATGGCAGATCAATAGATGAAGTAGTGAAACGTCATCAGTTGAGGTGGTTGGGACATGTGCTGCGTATGCCTAACCACCGACTGCCTCGTCGAGCTACGTTTTACCATGCAGGAGTAGGTCGGAAGACAGTTAGGGGTGGCCAAACCGAAACATGGCAGAAATCCACGAAATCACTGACAACTGGACTGAGTCATGTCGGTGGGTGTTGACTACCTCGTTAGGGTCCGCGAGATGATAATAATCGATGGTTAGAGACCCTGAATGACATGGCTTAAAACTGTTTGCAATGGAGCAGGTGCATTTACTCTTTGTGTTCTATGAAATTCTAACCTGAATTCATCGTCATCTTTATCTTTCTCTTTCTAAATTTACCTCACTGATTTATACTTATTGAAAAATATCTTTGAACCCCAATCTTCTCCATTACTTCTAATACTTTTACTACCTCTGCTACAATTGGATTTGAATTAACAATTATATCTCTGTGCTAATGTGGTATGGCAACTTCAACTGATGTATTTACATGCAAAGTTCTACGTTGCTGTTGATGATTGATAATGATGAACTTTGAATTTACCCTGGTAACCTTTAAGCCTTTGTATAGCCCTGGGGTAATGTGACAATTTCCTACTCATATTTTTTCTTTCTATAATACGTTAATTTTCTCTCTCCTTCATTTACAATGATCACCTTATGTCTATTTGTACTTTTTTTTGAATTGACCTTTTATTCATCTTCATATAAAATGCTTTGACAAGTATGCATGTGTATGACCAAATTGTTTTCGAAATATATAGGGTGCGTATACGTCACAGCACAACATTTTCCAGATCAATTACGTCTTCTCACTGTGTTCTATCAAAATATAGAAAAGGGACTATTTATTTTAAGTAAGTACTAAGGTGACAACTCAATATGGTTATATAAATACGCATGCACCAGCAAAAAGCTTGAACAAAACGAAATGATTATAACTTATGATTAATAAGGATATTGAAAAAAAACACAAACTATCAACTGTTGCACAAGTGACACTAGTTGACCGTCTGAAATCGTCCTCAGTGTGAACATAAATAAATGCCCTGCGAGATAACAGGCAACTCTTGCTGGCGAGTCTCGAATAAGATGATACATATGTTCTGGTTTCCATTGTTAGTCACAACTCAACTCTTCTAAACTGATATACTGTTGTATAATTTTGTTCCGTGACTGGATTGAATATTTGCCAAACGTTGTATTGAAGATACATTGAGTCAGTTAGTCAGTTACAACGTAGAACTTCGTATATGTAGGTACATCAGTTCAGGTTGCCATACCACATTAGCACAAAGACGCTACTGTCATTTCAAATCCTATAGTGGTGGAGATAGTGGAAGAGTTACGGTAATGCAGAATATTAGCGATCGACGATGTTATTCAAGAAGTATAGTTTAGTGAGAAAACTTTAGAAAGAGAAAGATAGAGATGATGAGGAATTCAGAAGGTTAGAATTTGAGAGTGGTTGAGAGAACACAAAGAATGGATGCGCTCGTGATTGCAAACGATTTTGAGCCATGTCGTTCAAAGTCTCTAACCATCGGTGAATTTCGTCTCGCGGACCCCAACCAGGTAGTCGACACCTACCAACATGACTTAGTCCACTTGTCAGTGACTTCATGGATTTGTGCCATATTTTGGTTTGGCCACCCCTAACTTTCTTCCAACCTATTCCTACACTGCAAAACCATCGTTGGTCGAGGCAATCGGTGTTTATGCTTACGTAACACATGCGTCCGAACCACCTCAACTGTTGATACATTTGGGTTTAAAAAGCTTTTTACGTGGTAATGATACACATTGTTGTTTTTTGTTCAGTCTCTGCTTAAATTGACTATACTTACTGTAAAAAAATTTAAACATAACTCTAAGCACACATATATTATGTTAATATTTCTAAGATTATTTTTCTGACTAACTGACTAACTCACCGTTCGACTATTTGTTTTATGATTTTATTTAGGGTGTCAGTGTTATTGGTGTGCATCAAATCGATAGAATTGTTGAAGTTGTTGAAGAAACTTTACAAGGTTCGTTTCATTTCCTGTTTATATATATGTGTGTATGTGTACCACTGAATGTGTTCCATTGTTTTTTTGCAATGGAATTCAATACTGACGTTTGTATGTGTACAACCAACTTGCTAGAGCGCATACTTATGAAGTTTCATACAAAATGGGTGGTTCTCGTTGATGAATTTAAGTAAAATCAGAACAACATTCGAGACAGAATGATAAATTGAATTTATTAGGACAGGGAACAGAGTAGGTTGGAGAATGTTGGTCGGCAGTCTATATTCCACGATGTGTAACAGGAGTAAGTACGTAATATGAATTCTCTAATTATTTCGTGGTTTTGTATCAGCTGCTTACAATCATATTTGTTACATTTTGAATATTTACGAATATGTCTGTCCCCCCCAGTGCAGTATAGGCCACTGACCAGCATTCCCTAACTCACTCTGTCCTAGGCCTTCTTCTCCAGTTCTATTCGATTGCTGTTTGTCTCCATTTCTCAGCGTAATGTGTTCCTTGGTCTTACTCCCCTCATTTGACCTTGAGGATTCCAAGCGAGAAGGACTTGTCTTGTTGTGACGCAATTGGATGCTTTCCTTAATATGTGGCCTCTTCACTTCCAGCACTTCTTCCTGATTCCCTCCTCAACTTTTATCTGGTTTATTCTTTACCACAGTAGTTTGTTGGTTGTAGTGTCTGGACAACGTTTCCGAAGTATGTTGCGTAGACAACTATTAATGAACACTTATATCTTCCTCTCCATACAGTAGAACTGTCTTGACATTTGTATTGAACATTGTGAATTTACTGTTTGTTGATAGTTGTTTTGAGTTACAGATGTTCTTCAACTGAAGCAATACCATCCTTCCTTTGTCAATCCTTACCTTCACATCTGCATCGAATCCACCTTGATTATCGATGATGCTACCCAGATATGTAAAGGTTTTTACACCTTCCAAAGCTTTTCCCATCGTGTGTGATTTGGTTGATGCACGTTCTGTTACATGTAAGGGTCTTGCTTCTTCCCTTTATGTATTTGGAGACCTAGTGCTTCAGAGGCTTCCACCACCACTGGTTGTCTTTTGCATTTGTTGTTGTGTGTGCGAGATAGAACAGCTAGATCATGTGCAAAGTCTAGATTGTCCAGCTGCATATTCAACTTTTTTAGAAATTTAAACTGTTGACACAAAAACGAACAAACTATCGATCAGTTCATTTGGTTTTTTGTAAAAGTTCTTTCATAATTAGATAAGTGCAAAAGTATTCAATGTAAGATAACATGGAATGTGTTTGTTTAACATTACTTACTTACTTAATTACTTCATCATCGTCATCATCAACAGCGACGTAGAACTTTGCACGTAAGTACATCAGTTCAAGTTGCCATACCACATTAGCACAGAGAGATGGAATTGTCAATTCAAATCCAATAGTAGTAGAGGTAGTAAAGGTACTAGCAGAAGATATTATTCAAGAAGTATGATTCAATGAGTAAAGTTTAGAAAGTCAAAACTAAACGGGTTGATGAATCCAGAAGATTAGGATATAAAGGACACAAAGAATAAATGCACCAGCGCCATTGCAAACGATTCTGAGCCATGTCATTCAGAGTCTCTAACCAACGATTATTATCATCTCGCGGACCCCAACCAGGTAATCGACAACTACCAACATGACTCAGTCCACTTGTCAGTGACTTCATGGATTTGTGCCATTAATTGGTCTGATCAGCCCTAGCTTTCGTCCAAACTATTCCTATAGCTCGACGAGGCAGTCGGTTGTTGGGCATACGTAACTTACTTACCTGCTTACGCCTGTTACCCCTAATGGAGCATAGGTCTCCAACCATTCTGGTTAGCGTTTTTTTGGTGGGATGGGGTCTCCAACCCCATGCTTAACCCTCCTCCTGTATCCGGGCTTGGGACTGGCATTAGCTTCGAAGATTTTACAGGCAGAGTTGCTTGTTATCATTGATCGATAATGTTTAAAACAGTCGCGCAATTTTTACTGTAGTATAACAGATAAGTAATAGGTTTTATTGTATCGGTATCAAATTAGGCTGAAGACACATATTTAACTGACAAGCCTTCACCATGCGTGAATATACTACTTGTATAGTACTGCTAGCATATATATATATCTGAAATCGATAGTGTTCCGTTGTCATACTGTGACATTGTCATTGTGTATTCTTCTGATATGATTATGTCATTATTGTCGTCATAGAAAAATTCAGAATCTGGTGTGTGTGTGTGTGTGTGTGTGTATGTGTTTAGTTTGATCAGGATTTTATGTGATATCTAACAATTCTGTGAATTTACAGATCGTTTCTAGTTTATGTGAGTAATTATTTTTCTTTTTTTGATAAATTGATAATCTTATTTGAATGTGATTTGAACATATCATTTATATTGGTACAGTGACTTACTGAAATATTTATTTGCTGCATTGTGTGTTGGTTTGGATGCTGCCGGCTGCCTGAAAAAGAAACCAGGTGGTTTTAGGGGGATCATTCTTGGAGCTTTGGATTTACAGGTCTAATTTAGAAAGCAAGAAAGAAGTGACGTTAGGCGATCTAGTCTCATGAGTAGCCAGTCATCCGCATTACGTTCATAGGGCATTTGTTCCACTAGGGTCCCCGTAGCCCATGTGCACCAACCAGCATGAAACGTAGGGCTTTCATGAAGTCACAGTCAAATTCAACGTGGAACCTAGTACATAAGTACATTTGTTTGAAGTTGCCTTACACTATTACCATTATCTGGGAAAATCCCTGTGTAGTAGATGTTGGAACATTATGAATGGTAATCAAAATGGACTGGGCATCAAAGATACAATTTTGGGACGAAAACATTAATTCGTGAAGGAACAAGACTTCTGTTGAATTTATAAAATTTCGAATCCAGGAGAGAACGAACAATGAATAACACACCTGCACCGTTCTGAACTATTTTGAGTCATGTCTTTCAAAGTCTCCAACCATTTGTTGCAATAATCACACAAACCACGACCAGTCAGTCTCCATTAACCTTTATGGCTCAGTCTAACAATCGGTGTATTCACAGACTGATGCCATGTCTTGATTTGGTCTCGCCTAGATTTTTTTCAGCCTACCTCTTATATAAGCCATCAAAGTGCGTCTCAGTAGTCGGCAGATGGGCAGATATGTAATAAATATATATGTACCAACCATTTTAGCCTATAAAGATTCGCTGTCAAGTTAATTTTTTTTACTTTACCTATCTATTACTATGCATCTAACCTCATGATTGTGTTAACCCGATGGTTTTTGTGTGAATAACCGCTCATTGCCTAACAATGCGCCTTTTTTTCTGTAAACGTATTGTTTATCCTTGAGTATGCATTTTTTTAAAAATTCACCTTACAGTCATCTACTCATTAGGAAATCAGTCAACATCTATAATTCAGTAGAAAATATATACCGACCTATTTGATTTTCACACGGATGAGACAGCATACTTTTGAAAATTGTTCCCTACCTTGACAAAACATTATATCGTGGGTTGATTAAAATTACAGTTGTACACTTTTGGCTTCTGGCTTCGTTAATCTAGAGGCTAATTAGGCATTCGCTTATATTACTGAACGTCCCGAATTCATCTTTTGATTGTGAAGTCGTTGCTGTCCACTTGTAAGGAATCTCATAGCATAGCACGACGAACAAGTATACTATTTGAAGTGTTTATAATTCACTTCTCGGTATATTGAACTTCATCACACATCAACTTTAGTCATTCAGTGTATATCAGTAGTGTTGTCGTTGAAATTCAATGATTTGTATTTTGTGTGTGCGTGCGTGTGTGTGTGCGAAAATGGTTTAGATTTTTGTTGACTTCATGATTATGTCAAGGACATTTATGTTTCCTTCGGGGTTGGGACGTACAAGTTGGTGGCCAATGAGCTTTTTGTTGTCAGTGCTCCTTAAATGGGTAGGATTGTTATGATACCCAATTACTACATAACCAATGAAAAGGTTGACCATAGAAATGTCACTCCTCACCTTACCTCATGGATTTCCGTCGCCGACGTCAAAGTCAGTGAAAGAGTGCAGCTAGCACTTTACAAACTTCCCATGAAAAGGTCATGCGTGACCAGCCTCAAGCAGTTGTCCCTTGGGCTCTACGACCATGCTCCGAGGTCTCTAAGGCCAACACTAATCCAATTTTATTTTAGGGTTCCTCAAGAAACACCCTTCCACTGTGTGGGCATCTGGAAAGTGACATCCGCCCTCAAATCCTTAACAACACACGCCACCAAATTAGTTAACCGTAATGTTTACATCTTGATCCAGTTGAGTTGAAAGTTTATTCATGAGAACAGACCAATCAACGTGTTTCAAAATGATCCTAACTGCAAAACATGCTTTAATCCATTCTGTCCTGCTAACACTTAAACACTAGTTCTTATTGTAAATGCTCACCAAATCGTTCCCGATTCGCATAATTTAGTCAGTTTATTACACCTCGTCGGGGTATCGGGGCAAGCTGTTACTCTCCGGCTGCTCACACCGTGGAAGGGCTCTGGTTGTTGGAAGGGGCACTGGCCTTGAGACCTCCGGAGGAATTCGGCTTTCATCGTGAGACATCATAACTCTTCTAAATGAAGACCTTCTAACTCGCGGGGCAGAGTTTAAATGGTTTGAATTATTTTTCTGGCTAGCGTTTATTTATCGAGTTAGTTTTCTACGGGACCGGGTCGCGAACCTCATGTATAACCTTTCTTTACCTGGGCTTGAGACCAGCAATAGCCCCAGAGGGGCTTCAGGTGGAGTCACTGATTGTAGTGGTAATTGGCAGAAACATATCATCTGTCTCTCATCATCTTTGTTAAAACAAAAATAACAGATATAAGCTTTTTTTTTTTAGTTAACCAACCGGATTGTAGTTTTTGTAATTATAACAAATATGTGCTAACACGTTAAAATGAACAGCGGTATCTGAGGATTAACCCTCTAGAGAACTCCGCATTACTATGAAGTTGTGGGACATGAAGTGACAAAGCTTCATGCATTGATTGTAAATAATCTTTATCAAAAATATTACTTTCTTCAGATTGGTCCAACCACGAAGTTGATTGTCCAATCAAAATTGTTCTTCCGACACCATAGAAAAACATATTTAATCAAAATTTGGCCAATCATTGCATACTTTGAACGGTCAATACATTTGTCTTGTTTTTTTATTTATATTTCAGGAAATGTGGTACGATTTTTAGATAAAAAATACACATCACCAGACTCATCATCATCATCATCATCATCATCATCATCATCGTCACCAGCTGGTATAGCATTAGATTTGCCAAAAATTCGACGTAATCCACTCATTGAAATATTGGCTATAAGCACTGGTTGTTTAAATGCTTGTACATATTGTAAAACTAAACAAGCTCGTGGTGTGCTAGCCAGTTATCCGATTGAACAATTATTGGATCGTGCAAAGCAAGCATTTGCTGGTAGGTTTCGGTTTGTTTGTTTGTTTGTATGCGTATGTGGATGTGTGTGTGTGTGTGGGTGGGTGTTGAATGTGTCAATGTACATGTTGTGATTTAAATTATTGAGCTATAACCGAAATCGATTGTGTGAATGTTAGATCATACTGTTTTTAATTGAACTGGTTATTCACTGTATTTGTTATATTGCTGCTATTTATAGCTATTCAGTCCTAGTGGCGTCCAAATTCAAATATCCCAGTACGACCCAAAAATACTATTCCCCAAATCTTCTCCTATATATCAGAACGCAACACGGTTGGACAGAGTTGTTTATTTGGGTCGAGTATAGAAAAGAGAGGTAGGCGGCTGGAAGAAACGGAATCGGAATCATGAAGTCTTACAGATAGTGCGCGTATTTATACATTTAGGTGGTCGAATAGGAAAGAGCATCAAGGTCTGTGACATCGACAGTTTAGGATAACCAATAAGAGACAACATTGAAGTATTTTAGACTTTGACAGTTAAAACGACCATAATTTTGACCAATAGAAATCGACCAAAAAGGTTTGTACTTCCAAAAATAGTACTCTTAGGATATTTGGTGAATATCCTAACAGTATTGAAGTATTATTCTCACTTAAGCATATTAATATGGTTTTTTTTTAAAAAGAAGATATTGATATTGTCTGTCTTTTGGTTTAGTGTTTAAAAAATAGTCAACTTTTAATCGATAAGTTTTATAGGCTTCCATTTCTTGTCATTTAATGCGAGTCGGAGGTAATTAATATCGTTCATTACACGTTGAACACACAAACACGTGCTTGATAATGGAGTTATATAATTAGTCACTGAGGTACTACTGTCAATACACTATTCGTTTTTTTCATGATGGAAACAGACTCGCATGCTTTTGTCAAAATGGAACCATGAAGTAAGAGCATTAGTCCAACGATGGGTGACTTCATTTTGTGATGAAGTTTCATTCTCTGAGCTGAATCGTTTTGGTTGTGTAGCGTTCATTGTTCTTCTGAACAGCATCATTAGCACAAACTTGACCATCGTTGTAAACAACCAATGAACATCGATGTCGACTGGACAAGCTACGAGTCATACGTGGAGAAACTTGAATACTTCACTACGCTGCCTTAACTTTGTGCTGAAGATTGTTGTTCCGAAGAAGAACAATGCTGAAAACTCGATAACCAAAACATTGTGTTCAGAGAACGAAACAACCTCATCATGATCATCTCCATCATCTCAGAATTCATTTTTGAGTAAATATATGCTCTCGGTATATAATTACTGATAAACATGATTGATTTAGATTTAAATAGTTAAAGAGCACATGAATTTTTTGTGATGAATAGTGAGATTGTTGATTATTTCCGTTATTTTTCAAGATTGTTGAGTTTATGACTTTACCTCGAGTTTATAAATCCCATAAACGCATCACATAAAATGAAGATCCGAGTGTTCAGTTAATCATTTGACTTGACTTATCCAATGTGATAACTTTGTACGTCTCTGTTACACATGCACGTAAACACGTCATTTGATATGCTTGAACTGTTACGAGTTTACCTTAGTCAGTAAATGAGAGCGAGGATCAATGATTCAGCGACATGACAGGCTACTTTAATCCGAACGTTCCAAACCCCCATTGAGTATAAGAAGAAGATTTGATATGAAGTAGTACCTGTAATTTACACACATCCAGATAGTACGAGGTCCGAGTTCGGAAGAGGATAAGGACCCCGGACTAAGGATCCGGGTTCGGATCATTAAACGTTACAGATAATGCATATATTTATACAGTTAGGTTGAATAGGAATTAACATTTGAAGTATGTGACATTGATAGTTAGGACCACCAATAGGAACTGATCAATAGAATTAGACTTACAAATAATTTTCCCATCGGGTGCCATCTCATTGGTAAATCAGTTTGTTAGTGGGACGTAGATGGAATTAAAGCATGACTACGTTGCTGCACGCTGATTGGCCAATTTCCTATCCAATCAGCGCCTGATCGAATCTTGGGGAACAGGATAGACGATTCTCGTATTGTTAGCTGCGTGCTGTTCCAGTCGATCACGTGAATTTCTATCCAGAAGCTCTTCATGTAAATGCTATAAATAGACTAACGTTGTATGTATTTTCGGCCTTCGCCTTCGCCATCACCTTTGGCTTCTTATTTCCATTTAACCTTGCTATTTGGAATATAATCTTTTCCTGTCCCACCGTGTTATTGATTCTTTGGAACGTGTCCAGTGTATTGTGGTCAGAGAACAATAAGCAATAGGATTTAGCTGGGAATTATTTCAGCAAGCGATTACAATAGTGGCGACGGGGATGCGAAGGCGAAGGCCTAAAATACATACAACGTTAGTCTATTTATAGCATTTACATGAGGAGCTTCTGGATCGAAATTCACATGATCGACTGGATTAGATTTAACCAATCAGCACGCAGCTAACAATACGAGAATTTTCTACCCTGTTCTCCAAGAATCGATCGAGCGCTGATTGGATAGGAAATTAGTCAATCAGCGCGCAGCAACGTAGTCATGCTTTAATTCCATCTACGTCCCACTAACAATGTGAGGCGTTCACTCATTAGACTAGGGATCTTGAGTTTGACTCTCTGATTTCACGCTCATGAACGCGCACAGCTAAGTTTTTAAATTGTTCACTCAGTAAGTATATATATAGTAGGATGGTGTCGTATCACTTGGTGTATAAGAATTAGACTTTGTTCGTCTATGAAGAAAGGATCTTTAAAACAATAATCAGGAGAAAAAAGTACTTTTCTAAGTTTGTATTTCGCTAAAATTTTAGAAGGTGTCAAAGAACTATGGCTTACTTCTGAAGATCTTGGTGCTTATGGACGTGATTTAGACCGAGCTAAATCATCACTTATATGTCCAGAATTATCGAAAAAATGGCCGCATCATATAACATTGGTTGATTTGTTAGTTGGTCTTGTCCCATTAATTCCAGCTGGTTGTATGTTACGTTTGGGTATGACCAATCCTCCATATATATTAGATCAATTGGTTGAAATTGCTGCAGTCTTATCACATCCTAGAGTATATGCATTTCTTCATATTCCTGTACAATCTGGTAATTTTAATCTACTCATCATAATAAACAGAATGTTTTTATATTAATGTATAGGGAATGTTAGTTTCAGTGCATTAAATTTTCTATAGTGTCTTTTTTGATTTGATTTCGACCAATTTGGTCTCTCGTGTGCTGTTACGGGGTATGAGGGTGGTTGTCACTTCCCGGCTGCCCACACCGTGCAAGGTTGTTTCTTGAGGGGACCTGAAAAGGAAGATAGATTAGTGTTGGTCTTGGCGACCTGGGAGCGTGGCCGCAAGGGACAGCTGCTTCAGGCCAGTCACGGACGGCCTTTTTATGAAAGGTATTTTGAGGATTAGCTCCGTTCTTAAAGGCCTTTAGTGGGCGCCCTTACCCAAGGAGACGGAAATCCGTGAGGTAGGGTGAGGTGTGACATTTTTAGGGTCGACCTTTTCTAACTCCTTTCTTCCTTGTGAGAAGGCAGCATCGCTGCAGATGCTGGTTGTCCGAGGGAAACACCTTACTGCCGCTGTCACACCCCTCCATCACAGTCAGCAGTACGACTTCGCCCTCAGACCTTGAGCAGCAGCTGCTTTTAGTCTCATCGTTCTTCAATCGACCTGCCTGGCATGGTAGAACCTTCAGGAACATAAGTTCCAGCCAATATAGCTTGGTTGGGTCATCACGATAGGCAAGCCCGACCACCACATCAAGGTAGCAGCTACGGTCGGGTTATGGTGTCTAGTTGTATTAATCATTATTTTTCTACGGGATGGGGTTGCTTACTCCATGCTTAATTCCCCTCTCTTATATCTGCGCTTTGAATTGGCAGTCATCATAGAAGGTCGCCAAAATTAACTTATAGCAATTAGAACTAACTGAAAGTTAGAGTCCTGGACGGAGTTGGCTGAAGAATCCTAGTTGGTGACTTATGTTCTCTGAGGGATTACAGGAGTAATTAGGTTGATTGTGGTAGAATGCTGTACGATCAATTGTCAGTTGGATGTTCAAGTTTCCTCTTATTATACGAAATATAGATTAAGTTAACTCAAATAACATTGACGGATTAAATCAGGTAGATGTTACAACGAAGGATACCAATGATAAGCGTAGCATTGTAAATAGTTTCTCAACCTGAATTCCGGCCGATTTGTCATAATATGGCATTTACCAGCAATGCGTATCCGCAACCCACGTACGTAAACATCAAACTCAGGATATTCGTTCTTGTGCATGAGCACCTAACCACTAAACTACTGAGTTGTCATCCGTTGACGTTAATGTCTAACTTCAATCAATCAAAAACCTTCACCCATTGACTGACATGGATGACCATCTACTACCTGATACGCATTCAACTACACTAGTCAGTCAGTCAGATGCAACGTAGAACTTGGTACGTAAGTACATCAGTTCATATTACTATACCACATTAGCACAGAGAGATGTAATTGTAAATTCAAATCTAATTGTAGTAGAAGTAGTAAAGGTATTGGAAGTTATCGGAGAGGTAAGGATTAGAAGATATTATTCAAGAAGTAAGATGAGACTCCTCAGGTAAGTGAAGCGATCAACACGTTCGACTACTTCACTCCCTGTCACTAGTTCAGGTGCCGATGCAACCCAATCTTGAAGCAACATTTTGCATTTCGAGGGTGAGAACCGCATCCCGAACATTCTTGCATTGTTGCTTAAGGTGGTCAGAAGACTCTGCACTTGGTGAGCGTTTTCACCAAGTAGGTCTATGTTATCGTCATATTCCAAGTCAATGTGCGAGCCACCTGGTAGGTCTACTCCTGAAAATTCAGACGATCATGTTAATATTTATATGTTAAATACTACCGGTAAGATGGATGCTACTGACAAAATGACCTACAAGTAATATGCAGTGGAGTATCGCTTAGAGGTTGGTTGTAAAATCTAGATATTTGTAGATATAAAATAGATAGAATGTAGTTTAGCTGTGTATTTCAAGCTACGAGTTTCGTCGCTATTGAGGACTGGTCAACTTGTGCAGCTGTATTTACGTGCAAAGTTCTACATTGCTGTAGATGATGGTGAGGACTCGTCAATTGTATGTACTTGCATTCCAGGGTGGATGTTCATTCCTCAACTCGAACCCCCAATACCTTAGTGAAAGTTTATCTATTCTCTATCACAATTTGTATCATTATGGATTTGAACTGACAGTGCTGTGCTGTGCTGTGCTGTGCTGTGCTGTGCTGACTTAGTATGGCAACCTGAACCTTATGTACTTATGTACTTATGTTCTGCGTTGTATTTGTCTGTCTGTCTGTCTATGGCTATATCGTAGCCATCCTTACAGGTTGCGCGCATACAAACAAATAAGATGGGATGAAATTTTTCGGCAAAAAATTTATCAAACATAGCGATATTTTCAACCATTTCATTTCAAACATTTTCCACAGGTTCCGATGCTGTACTAGATGCAATGAAACGAGAATATACCGTGGAAGAATTTTCGAATGTTGTAGATTATCTGATGAAAACTGTAAAACCGCCAAATTTGTGAGTGTTAATTTACCTAGATTGATCATATTGAAAATGTTTTGATTAACTTAACGGGTTAGATAGATTGATTAGAATAACTCATCTGAGATCTATTTAAGTTATACATATATATATAACGTAAGTGTGGTATGGCAACTTAAACTGATGTGTACAGGTATGAGGTTCTACGTTGCAGCTGACCAACTGACGAAAGTAAAGTGATTTTTCAGTGATCAGCTAATGAGGCTTTCTCACTTGCTACAAAAATTGAAGGTCATTCAGTACAACTGACTGACTGACCACTGAATGGTGGCCAGTGTCGTGTATCGATAAAGTTGCTGTGTTTGGATATTCATCTAGGTTACTTGACATCATCATGAGCACTATATGTGGCGATTCAAGGTAGTGATTGGAGGTAGTCGACAGGGAAACCCCCCTTCGAACTTGAGTTTCGTGCTGTTTGGCACTCGTCAGTACTTGTGATTTTGAATGGAAATGATGCTCCCAGGTGAATTCGATCAGCCAACAGCTGAAATACTAAAATACCCTGCCAACTTATCAGATTCAGAAATTTCTATTCTGTTCTTCACTATGTATGCTGTAGCAAAAAACGATATCACTCGAATTATCTCAAGTCGTAGATATATATATATACGTCTGCCGAAATCTGTATTTTCAATGCCAACATGAACATAACCATATCAGTCAGTCAGATGCAACGTAGAACTTCGTACGTACGTAGATACATCAGTTCATATTGCCATACCACATCAGCACAGAGATGTAATTGTCAATTCGAATTCAATAGTAATAGAGGTAGTAAAGGTATTAGAAGTAATCGGAGAGGTTAGAATTAGAAGATATTATTCAAGAAGTATGATTCAGTGAGAAAAGTCAAAACTAGAGGAGTTGAAGAATCCAGAAGATTAAGATTTGAGAGAACACAAAGAATAAATGCACTGGCGCCATTGCGAACAATTTTGAGCCATGTCATTTAAGGTCTCTAACCATATATATATATATATATATATATATATATATATATATATATATATATATATATATATATCATTTCACTTTTGACAAAAAACAATCGTATTCTATTCATTTACAGAAAAGTTAACTTCCAAAGATTAGGTGAGCTTTACATGTTGTTGTTACAAGTTGGATTGTTTAGTTTGAGTTCTTAACCTCTTCTTGAGAGGGGTGTATCAGTTACCTAATAATAATCAAAGCATACTACTATTCATCTCCTACTTTAGTATCTTAACACTTAGCACTTAACACCTGACCTGTAACAGCATAATCAGTTTTTGTCAATAATTATAATTCAACCGACGAGATACTTAAGAAAAAGGATGAACTTTGATTACTTGTAAGTAGTATAGTCATCGAAGAAGAATTTCCTACAAGATGAATATATTACATAGTCATATAAATCTCATATCGATAATATGAAGTAATAAAACACTACATCTCGCATCGTCAGGTTAATGGGGTTAGCTTCTAGAAACGTAACTCAATAAACAGAGAGAGACAGAGAGTGAATGCAATCATTTACACATATTTAATAACATTTACATAGGACAGTGTTTGAGGGGTTCATTAATATAATGGGCTAAGTTAAATTATCCAATCAGACTTGTTTTTGTAATTTATCTACATAGCGCATGAGATTGCAATTGATAGCTTAGCACTGTAGGCTCAATCGACATGATTCACCTTGAACTGTACTATGGATTTGCAAATTCCTAGACTTAACCTCAAAATAATAGGAGGCAACAATAAGGATTCAATTATAATTATCATTATTCCAAGCAGATATAGGTCTTTCAACAAATTGTGTAATGGACAGCTTCCAAATGACTGTCTATACAAAATATAATTCAACTAAAAACGGAGCAAAAACAATTTGTAGGTAATAAATTCAGTCGATGAGCTACTAACTGCTAATAAGTAGTATATTCAGATAAAACAAACCTTTCTTACTATGTTTTATACATGCAGATTGATATGACATTTTATAGTGTTTTAATATACACAATATTTGTTTAGGGAATGTTAAATCCCCAGAACTCGCTTGATAAACGTCTTTATTTTGGATTTTATTCATGGGCTGATCAGTTGACCTTGAGATCACATTTCTCACCAGGAAAATCCTTGGCTGTGATTGGTTGCTGTGTTACTTTATTGTTCTATTTTTGTGATTCTCCCAAGGACGTTTCTATGATGTATAAATAAACGCAATTTGTGTGCTTGAATTGACTGTATTTGCTGGGTGTTTGTAGAATACACTTTCTACGCTATATCAAGACTTCTTCGTTAGTACCGGATCAGTGTAGCCTACCTAGACACTGGTTCATTGTCTCGTTCTCATTTATCGACTAAGGTGAACTCGTAATAGTTTTAAGCATACCTAGTGATAGGTGTAACAATTTGAATTTTCATATTTTTTTTAGGATTATTCAAACAAATGTACTATTTAAAATGCAATACTATTCTATAACATCATGCTTTTGATTTCATAACATAAGTTTTCAGGCTGTGTAGTTCGGTTCAGTGTTAGTAGTAGTAATAGTTGTATAAAAACACTGAAATGCGAGTTGTTTGTAAAAACGAGCCATGGATAAAACTAGCAATTATTCACCATAATTCTAAATTGAATTCCTTAGCAGAAAAACATGTTTAGTTTCTTACATGTCACCATGTTGGTATTTGGGGTTATGTTTAACAGTATCGATTTTAAGGTTTATTATTGAAAAAATTTAATACAGAAACATAACTTATAATGAATAGTAGTTGATTGTATCTTCTAATATAATTAATTACAAATATTGATATGAATTTATACAGCTTCTTGAATAATATTGTCGAATCCTAATTGCTCCGATTACTGCTAATATTTCTATTGTCTCTACTACTACACTTCCATGGGATTTGAAGTGACAATTGCATCTCTATGCGTGGTAATGTGGTATGGCCTATTGAACACTGATGTACGTACGTACGTACGAAGTCCTAAGTTGTTGTTGGTTGATTGATTGGTTGCTAAAACTTTAGAATGGAAATTTATATACATACCTAGCTGACGAGTCCTTAATAGGGTGAAACTTGTGTCCTTGATTTCACTGTCAGCCACTATCCATCCATTATGTATTATTAGGTTGTGTCAGTCAGTAAATTACAACGTAAAACTTTGTACGTACGTACATTAGTTAAAGTTATCGTGCTACATTAGCACACAGAGACGCAATTGTCAATACGAATCTCATTGTAGTAGATATGGTTGAAGTATTAACAGTAATCGGAGAGATTAAGTTTCGAAGATATTAATTCGAGAAGTTGAATCTTGTAAAATAAACTTAAAAAGAGAGAGAGATAATTTGATGACGAGTCCAGAGAGTTAGGATTTAAGAGAAGCCAAAAAACGAATGCACCTGCGCCATCGCAAACGATTTTGAGCCATCAATTATTATCATTTCGTGGACCCCAACCAGGTAGTTTTCATCTACCAACATGACTCAGTCCATTTGTCAGTGACTTCATTGATTTTTGCCATTTCACTTGTGTCATAAAGTTCCAAGTTGCGAGCAGTGGGCGCAGTTTATATTGAGACAATCTACACACGATTCCCGTACACCGACTAAAACTGACCAAATCTTAGTGAAAAAAAATATTCACAACAACACATTCGATATCATTTCAACATGGAATTTTTTAGGATATTCACCAAATATCCTAAGAGTACTATTTTTGGAAGTATAATCCTATTGGTCGATTTCTATTGGACAAAATTATGATCGTTTCAACTGTCGAAGTCAAATACTTCAATGTTGTCTCTTATTGGTCATCTGGACTGTCAATGTCATTTCAAATGTTCTTTCCTGTTGGCCGTCCAAAACTGTCAATGTCACAGACTTTGATGCTCTTTCCTACTATTCGACCACCTAAATGTATAAATACGCGCACTATCTGTAAGACTTCATGATTCCGATTCCGTTTCTTCCAGCCGCCTACCTCTCTTCTGTACACGACCCAAATAAACAACTCCATTCAACGGTGTTGCGTTCTGATATATCAGAGATTTAGGGAATAGCATTTTGGGTCGTATTGGGATATTTGAATTCGGACGTCGGTAGGATTTGAATAGCTATACGTAGCACCATTATAAAAGAATTATAATTCGTGATGTTGTGATATTTATGGTGTTATTGCGTTACAGATTTTTTTTTATTTTTAATGATGCAAACTCGTTTCATGGTCGAAGTCATTTGATATTAGGCGAATAAAATTTCAACATATTTCATATGTGTAAACATTTTTTGACATTCAGTTTTTGCCTGAACCTAAGAAATTTGGTCTCAACCTCTAGACCTCTGACTAGGCATTCAACGATGTTAAGGTCTAACTTTAATCCATCCATGATATTGCGCAACGTTCACTCATTGATGATTGAGCTGGATAACTAACTCTCCCCCATCCGACACGGATTGAAATCAACTGATTGCTTGTGATCTGGCCTAGCTAGATTTCCTTCATAAAAATCAAATTAGATTTAATTAAAACCGAGAGTGCATATAATCTGCTTTCTCGCTCCAAATGCTCTCGTATAGCTAGCTACACGTGTATATTCACTGTCAGGGAACATCTACTCATTGTCTTCTCCTTATAGAGAGGACTTCTGTACGAAATTTTCCTGAACATTTCTGTTTATTATTTACTTACATCTTACTCATGATTTCCTTTACTTAATCTTCTTCATTATCCCTTATCTTTAATGCATTGTAGACCTCCTGACGTCGTATCATCTAATACACCGAATGGATCTGGTACACTTACCATTGCCACTGATGTGATATGTGGTTTCCCAACTGAAACTAATCATGATTTTAATGGAACAGTAGAATTAATTGAAAAATATCAATTCCCTGTATTACATATAAATCAATTCTATCCACGTCCTGGTACACCAGCTGCCAATATGTCACGGTATATATATTTTTCTTGGTTATAAATACTGTTTATGTTTCCTTTATAGTATAGTATAGTATAGTATAGTATAGTATAGTATAGTATAGTATAGTATAGTATAGTATAGTATAGTATAGAGATCGTTGTTTCTGATTAATATCATGAATCGATCAATGTTAGACCATCATTAGAAACCCGGAAGCACTTGATGGCCATTTTGTCCCTGGTATGGGACACATTAGCAGTGCGCATCCACGACACTTGCTATTCGCTGTGTAGTGAAGGAGAACACAGGTGAGGGCGACCGAATTGTATTTATCGAAAATTACAGAGTTAATTGGTAAAATAGGAAAACCATATCGTAAATCGTTCATTTGCAAAACATCAATCCATTGTCTGACATTTCACTGTTCATGCGTTTCATACAAATTCCATTGTGTTCCCACTCTTCCTTTCTTGATCTTCCCCCATCTTCTGCTGCCAGACATTACGTTTTCACTCGCGTCATATACTACTTATAAGTAGCGCGCACCACAGCTGTATTCGACGTGACCAATGAAGCTCAACCTTATCGGATGTAGGCATTAATTACCGAAGACAATGAGTGAGTGAGGTCAGCAAAATCCTTAGACTGGTCAGAGTTGGATATTAACACCGTCGGATATCGGCGTAGTTGTCCAGAAGTTAGGCGTTAGCGTGCGCAAGACCGAAGGTCCTGTGTTCGATACGTGCGGGTAGCTGGTTTTTCGGATGAGCATTATACTGAAACGAACCGGCCGCCCGTTACTTCCAGATTCTTAATGGTGGTCTAACATTGATCAATTTATGATTTCAATTTGCATGTCTTTCGACCTTGTCTATTATTCGCTTACATCTTCGTTGTTTTCATTCGAATGTGTGTATGTATCGCTTACTTCGTTTATTGCATGTCTGGCTAATTTTTCGTCTGACGAGTCATGCCTTATGACTCGCTCGCCATCTCCACTCCGGTTCACTTTGATTTAACGCTTTGTATTATTTGCCTTCTGTTTGCTTAACTAAAGACATAAACCTTTTTCTTAAAATAAACTCATCCAACCGAATCTGTCTGTATTTGGCTTCTCATTACCGCCATCACGTAAACGTAAACGTAAAAACACTAATCTCCATAACTCTAATTGAAAATATCGTAAAATGTGCTCATTAGTGACTAGCTTCGTGAGGAAATTCTCGGAGTTCTAGTTGAGAAGACGTGACCAATGGAGTTCAACCCTGTCGGGTGTAGGTAGTAACTACCAAAGACAAATGGGTGAGGTCGCGCAAAATCCCTAGATCAATCAGAGTTAGACATTAACACCGTTGGATGCCGGCCCAGTGGTCCGATGGTAAGGCGTTCGCCTACAATGCCAAAGGTCCCGGGTTCGAATCCTGCGAGGAGCAGGAGTCGTGGATGCACACTGTTGATGAGTCCCATACCAGGATGAGATGGCCGTCCAGTGCTTCCAGGTTTCTAATGGTGGTCTAACAATGATTGATGATTTCAAATATGTAAAAAATCGCAAACCTCCAAAACTGTGCCCCAAAATATACATCTTCGTTTATATTCAGACCTCGTACTCTCTAGATGTTTGTAGAATACAAGTTCTACTTCATATCAAGTCTTCTTCTTTCACTCAATGGGGTGTTGGGACATTCGGATTACAGTAGTTTATCGTGTTGCCGGATCCTCGATCTTCTCTCTCTCTCGTTTACTGACACTAAGGTGAACTCGTATCAGTTCAAGCATATCAAAATGACGTGGTCACGCGCACGCATGCTTAACACTCACAGTATAAAAAAAATCAAGCGGTGATTTTATTTGCTCGATAATAATTTGTTTTTTCAGTGTTTTTTTTGCAACGATAAGAATATCGATTTTAGTTTCGAACGGATTACTGGACAATCAAATAGGAATATCAACATGTCACTCAAAAAAATATCATACAAATAGACTGGTACTTCACTCTATTGGTAATATTAAACTACCTTGGAGCAACAGAGAGGGCATTTTTGTCCTAATCTGGAAATCCTCTAAAGTGCTCGTTCATAACAGGTCATTGAGTCGAGAGACATTCTGTCGCACACATACAAATGAGCACTTATCCTCTAAACCACTTATCTGACATTTAACGCAATGTATATGTCAAACTTCAATCGGTTCACAATAATATTGCACAACCATCTGGGGACTGTAAAATGTTTCAAGTTTGATTACCTATGTTTGGATTGCGGATGTGCACTACTCAGGGTTCCCACACTGTGACGAAACAACATTCCAACGTCTTTGGAACTGTTCATTCTACTTACTTACTTACGCCTGTTACTCCCGATAGAGCGTAGGCCGCCCACCAGCAGCATTCTCCAACCAACTCTGTCCTGAGCTTCAATTTCTAGTTCTTTGCAGTTTTTGTTCATTCTTCTCATATCTTTCTCTATTTCTCGGCGTAATGTGTTCCTTGGCTTTCCTCTTTTCCTTTTGCTTTGAGGGTTCCATGTGAGGGCTTGTCTGGTGACGCAGTTAGGTGCTTTTCGTAGTGTGTCCTATCCACTTCCACCGCTTCTTCCTGATTTCCTCCTCCACTGGAATCTGGTTTGTTCTCTCCTACAGTTCGTTGTTGCTGATGGTGTCTGGCCAACGAATCCTCAGTATTTTGCATAGACAACTGTTCATAAACACTTGTATCTTCTGGATGATGGCTTTGGTAGTTCTCCATGTTTCCGCTCCATACAGTAGAACTGTGTTGACATTTGTATTGAAAATCCTGATTTTGGTGTTGGTTGAAAGTTGTTTGGAGTTCCAGATATTTTTCAATTGTAGAAATGCATCCCTTGCTTTGCCAATCCGTGCCCTCACATCTGCATCGGATCTACCTTTCTCGTCGATGATGCTGCCTAGATATTTAAAGGTGTTAATGTCCTCCAAGGCATCTCCATCAAGAGTGATTTGGTTTGTGCATGTTGTGTTTTATCGTAGAATCTTACTTTTCCCTTTTTGTATGTTGAGACCTACTGCTGCAGAGGCTGCTGCTACACTGGTCATCTTCTCTTGCATTTGTTGTTGAGTGTGTGATAGAAGAGCCAGGTCCAGATCGTCCAGCTGCGTCCTAACTGTCCAGTTAGTTCTCACACTTGCTGAGATCGCCTTTCTTTCGTATTTTGATCAGGTATCCTTCTTTCCAATCTGATGGTACTTGTTCCTCATCCCAAATCTTCTTGAAGAGAATGTGAAATGTTTTCGCAGTTGCTTCCACATCTGCTTTCATTGCCTCTGCTGGAATGTTGTCTGATCCTGCTGCTTTGCCGCTCTTGATTTGTCTGATGGCCATACTGATCTCCTCAATCGTATGTGCGCCAATATTAATTGTGAGGTCCGTGGATGCTGCTTCGATGTTGGGTGGGTTCAGTGGAGATGGTCGATTCGGGAGTTCCTTAAAGTGCTCTATCCACCTATGTCGCTGTTGTTCAGTGTTGCTGGTTACTTTGCCTTCCTTGCTTTTCACTGGTCGTTCTGGTTTACGATAGTTTCCGGCGAGCTTCTTTGTAGTTTCGTACAATTGTCTCAAGTTTCCTTCTCTTGCAGCCTTTTCCGCCGTCGTTGCTAGATCTTCCACGTATTTTCGTTTGTCAGCTTTGATGCTCTTCTTCACTTCCCTGTTTGCTTCTGTGTATGCAGCTTGTGCGGTAACTTTCTCCGCTCTTGTTCGGCTGACATTGATAGCTGCCTTCTTGTTCCTCCTTTCTTGAATTTTTTCAAGAGTACCAACAGAGATCCATTCCTTGTGATGGTGCTTTTTGCGACCAAGGACCTCCTGACATGTTGAAGTGATTGCCTCCTTAATCCCTTTCCAGTTGTTCTCCAATGTTGCTTCCTCTCCATTGAGTAGATCCTGAAAGGCCTGGAACCTATTGGTTTCATTGTTAGTGAAGATATTATGCAATTGTATACAACACTTTATCTCATTGTATGTTTGTTTGATTATATAGGAAAGCTAACCCATCTGAAGTGAAATCACGTACACGTCGATTACACGATCTTTTTCGAAGTTATCGAACTTATGATGGTCGTGTTGGTTGTGAAGTACGTGTTCTTATTACAGAACCAAGTTTTGATGGTAAATTTTGGGTTGGTCATACAAAAGCTTATGAACAAGTAAGTGTTGTAAATATTATTCTAAACATTTTTCTATTGCCATTCGACTCACTGATTTGATGTATGAACTAGGATATTGTCCAGCTGCCAAAACTTGACCAAGTAGTAGCTCTCTTAAGACGGCACTCTCTGAGTTCCAGAGTACTAATACACAGTGGAACAACGTTAAGAAATATCGTACCTGGATAGCCGGTGAAAAAAAACAATTTGTTCACACACCATTTGTTTGCTTAGAATGTATAGATCATGTGTGTTACGATTTGTTTCAACTCAGAGTATTCCAACTTCCCTAGTGTTATGCATACTTGTAAACATGTCATTTGAGATGCTTGAACTTTTACGAGTTCACCTTAGTTAGTAAACGAAAGAGAGCGAGGATCGAGCATCCGGCAACACGATTTGCTATTCTAATCCGAGTGTCCCAAACCCCCATTGAGTGAAAGAAGAAGAGGACTTGATATGAAGTAGAACCTGTATTCTACAAGCATCCATAAAGTACGAGGTACGTGTCCAGAAGAGAACCAGCATCCTGGACTAGGGATCCGGGTCCGGGTCATAAAACGTTACAGATAATGCATATTTAAACATTTAGGTCGAATAGGAAACACCATCGAAGTTTGTGACATTGACAGTTAAGATGACCAATAGGAAACAACATTTTTAATGACATGGGAATTCAGGACGACCAATGGGAAACAACATTAAAGTACGTGACATTGATAGCTAGGACGATCATAAAATTGACCAATAAGAATCTACCAATAGAATTTACACTTACAAAATAATTCTTCGTAGGATATTTGGGGAATATCCTAACACGTAGGTATATGATCTGTACCCAGAACCTTGTTATTACACTCAACATTCGCTTATCATCTTAATTTCGTACAGAAGTCCTCTATAAGGAGAAAACGACGACGAGTAGATGTTCCCTGACAGTGAATATACACGTGTAGCAGCTATTTGAGAGCATTTGTAGCGTGAAAGCGGATTATATGCACTCTCGGTTTAATTAAATCTAATTTGATTTTTATGAAGGGAATCTAGCTAGGCCAGACAACAAGCAATCAGCTGATTTCAGTCCGTGTCGGATAGGAGAGAGTTAGTTATCCAGCTCAATCAATGGGTGAACGCTGCGCAATATCATGGTTTGATTAAAGTTAGACATTAACATCGTTGAATGACTAGTAAGAGATCTAGAAGTTGAGACCAAATTTCTTAGGTTTGATTTTTACATGCGTGGGTTGTGGGTACAAACTGCTGGTATATCTAATACTAATAGGAAACGGCCGGAATTACGGATCAAGAAACTGTTGACAGTGCTACTCTTAACACTAGTATTATCTGAGCTAATCTGACCTAGAGGTCGTATATGAAAAAGAAACTTGTACATTCAACCGATGACTGTTCGTCCGTTCTGCATCATTCTACCACAACTTATCCATGAAGTCACTAACAAGTGGACTGAGTCATGTTGGTAGATGTAGGCTACCTAGATGGCGTCCACGAGACGAAAGTCACCAATGGTCGGAGACCTTGAATGACATGGCTCAGAATCGTTTGGAATGGCGTAGGTGCATCCACTCTTTGCGTTATCTCTACTTCTAATCTTCTGAATTCCTCATCATCTCTATCTTTCTCTTTCTAAATTTATCTCACTGAATTATACTTTTCGAATCATATCTTCGCTCCCTAATCTTCTCCATCGCTGCTAATACTTCTACTATCTTTATCACTATGGGAATTGAACTGACAATTGCGTCTCTGTGCTAATGTTGTGGTATGGCAACCTGAACTGCTGTAGGTAGGAGGTGATAAATGGTCACGTCATCGAAATCAGATACGCTTACGGCTAGCCCCAGATCGCCCATCAAGAGCAGAAAGCCTTTCCCTTGACATCTTGCTTGATACCTTCAACCTACCGAGGTTTTAGTTCAACTTGTTTCTGTATATATTGATGTTGGGGATGATAGATCCCAAAAGCTCGCTTGATAAATGCCTTATTTCGGTTTTCACGTTTGCCAGCATGGGCTGATCAGTTGACCTTGAGAAAATTCAATTCTTACCAGTAAAATCCATGGTTGTGATCGGTTGCTGTGTATTTTAGTGTGCTATTTTCTTAACTGTCCCAAGGACGTTTCTATGTTGTATAAATAAACGAGAGTTGTATGCTTGATTGTACTGTGATTGCTGGGTGTTTGTAGAATATACTTTCTACGCTTACCAAGACTTCTGTTTTACCGTTTGGATTCAAGGTAGCCTACCTGGATATTGGTAAAAGTCTCGTTCGCGTTTATCGACTAAGTGACGAACCCAATAAAGTGTAACTCAGTTAAATATTTTTTTGATATAAATAAAACAAGAACTGTCATTTGGTGTTAACTAATGTATCTGTCTATATTCTTGGAGCGAAAGAGAGAGCGAGGCGTCGCGCGAAATAATCATTTTCAAACTTTATTATTTCTCACAGCACTTACACACATTGATTCAACCCTCTTTCTTTTTGAATTTTTTTCTCAATAGATTTTATTACCAAAAGATCCAGATGTTTATGGTCGTATTGTACTTGTACGCATCATTGAATGTGATAAATTTTTCATGCGTGGTATCATTATCAATGCAGGACCATTTGATTCTATTGTATTTCCAGATAATAATCCTGTGGGAAATAATAATAATTCCCCGTTGACAACTTCTTTACCTTCTTCATTAATACCGAATTCAATGCAACTGTCTAAAACAGATTGTACACCTGTGATGATGATAAAGCAAAGACAATCTAGTCGTAGTGGTGGTATATTAACATTTGTTGGTAATTATTTCCGAAGTGATAAAACATTGGTCAGTTGATTTTGTTGAATATTTATGTATGAATTTTTCTAATTATAACTTGTTTGATCATCAAATTACATTGATTTATACTAGGTAGATTGAATGGTGTACTAAAGAAGTAGACAGCGTGTAGACCGCTTCACTTTCCTGGGGAGTTTCATCAATGCCGATGGCCTGGTGAAATCTCAGCTCGGATACGAAGGCTCGACTGGCTTTTGCCAACCTGCGTCACTTATGGCACAGGCGAGATATCCTTTAGTTGACTAAAGGACGAGTGTACTGCGCAATAGTTCTCTCCGCCCTACTTTATGGCTGTGAAACATGGCCAGTGAGAGTAGAAGATATTCGTAGGTTACTGGTTTTCGATCATAGGTGTATCCGAAGCATTACTCGTGTAAGGTGGGACAACCGAGTGAGCAATGGCAGATCAATGGATGAAGTAGTGAAACTTCATCAGTTGAGGTGGTTGGGACATGTGCTGTGTATGGCTAACCACCGACTGCCTCGATGAGCTATGTTTTGCAGTGTAGGAGTAGGTTGCAAGAAAGTTAAGGGCGGCCAGACCAAAACATCGCAGAAATCCGTGAAGTCACTTACAAGTAGACTTAACCATGTCGGTAATTGTCGACTACCTGGTTGGGGTCCGCGAGACGAAAGTAACCGACAGTTAGAGACCCTGATTGACATGGCTGAAAACCGTTTGCAATGACACCGGTGCATTTATTCTTTGTGTTCTCTCAAATCCTAATCTTCTGGATTCTTCAACCCCTCTAGTTTTGACTTTCTAAACTTTTCTCACTGAATCATACTTGTTGAATAATATCTTCTAATCCTAACCTCTCCAATTACTTCTCATACCTTTACTACCTCTTCTACTATTGGATTTGAATTGACAATTACATCTGTGTGCTGATGTGGCATCGCGACATGAACTGATGTACTTACGTACGAAGTTCTACGTTGCAACAGGCTGACTGACTGAATTACATATTAACCTTATACAGGCTAGTCAAGTGAGTGCTTATAGTGAACTGTCATATGAATTCCTTGCTTCAAGTGGTGTTCGTCAGGGCTCTTCACTTTCCACATTCTCGTTTAACTTTATCATTCTAACTAATATAGTTTCTAAATTGTTAGCCTCGATAATCCTTAGACGCCTAAGTAGAACACATGAAGAGCATACTAGAGAAAACCAGGCTGGTTTTCGACCTGGACGTGACTCTATAGCCCACATTTTCACACTACGACTGGTCCTGGAACACAGACACACATTTAGACGTCCGACAATAGTCGTGTTCTTGGACGTAAAAGCGGCATTTGACTCGGTGGATCGGGAGGTTCTATGGCAGTGTCTGTCATTGGAATGTTTACCAAAGAAGCACATTAACCCTGTACAAGCTCTCTACTCGAACACCACTGGTCGAGTGAGAGCCTATGGCGAACTGTCATCGGAATTCTTCACTTGAAGTGGTGTCCGTCAGGGATGTCCACTTTCTCCATTCTTGTTTAACTTTGTCATAGACATGCTTTTAGTGTTAACCTAATCTTCGTTTGACTTTTCAGGTGTAGAACTTCTAACAGGAGATTTATTGGCTGACTTACAATATGCCGATGACACAGTTCCACTTGGTGAGGACGCTGACAAAATGCAGTGTCTTCTGACTACCCTAAGCAACAGTGCAAGCGTGTTCAAGAATGCGGTTTTTCTCCTTGAAATGCGAAATGTTGCTTCAGGGTCGGTTTACATCAACACCTGAACTAGTGATAGGTAGTGAAGTGGTCGAACGTGTAGACGGCTTCACGTATCTGGGGAGTCTCATCAGTGCTGATAGCCTAGTGACTGACGAAATCTCACCACGGATACATAAAGCTCGATTGTCTTTCGCCAAATTGTGTCACCTATGGCGCAGGCGCGACCGTCGGAGACGGAAATCGGTGAGGTAGGGTGAGGTATGACATTTTTGGGATCGACCTTTTCCAACCCCTTCCTTCCTTGTGAAAAGGCAGCATCGCTGCAGATGCTGGTTATCCGAGGGAAACCACTTACTGCTGCTGTTACACCTCTTTAAAGTCAGCAGTACGACTTCGCTCTCAGTCCTTGAGTAGCTGCTTTTAATCTCATCGTTCTCCAATCGACCTGCCTGGCATAGTAGAACCTTCGGGAACATATGTTCCAGCCAATATAGCTCGATTCGGTCATCACAATAGGCAAGTCTGACCACCACGTCGAGGTAGCAGCTATGTTCGGGAGGTAAGCCTGGGCCTTGGTTCTACATTATTCAATACTTGTCTACAAGGAATATTTGTAATTTTGACGAAATAAGTGATATTCCTATGTTGAATTCCATCACATATATTACCAAGCTTTGAAGTCAGTAACCTCATCGTTACTTCTGATCAAAATGGCGACTAACCCTTTGGGCATAAATTTTGTAAACACCAAAAAAAGAGCTTGATTTAAACGACATTAGTCAATCATTCACTTACTGCTCAATCAGTAGTCAGCTGTAAAGATTTTTGACTGTACAAGTATATATATTTGAACATGCTTTTTTCACACTGTTATTCTCTTTTATTAATTATCATTATTCTAGGCATTATGTATAGGTTACATGATCATTCTAATTGCTGGAATTTGTTCTGCGCTGAGATTCACCAAATTCGATATAACAACATACAACAAGTTTTCATTAACTTGATACCATCGTTTTTTTTCTCAATGCAAAATATATATTGTGATACATTGATTGACGCTGTGTATGTGTATTGTATTGTATGTACATTTGACTATTTCATTTGTTATTCGATTATGTTCAAAAGAAATAAGAAAAAAAATACACGCTTATTCAGATGAAATGGTTGAGTTTTTTCTTGGTGTGTGTACGTGTGTGTGTGTGTGTGACTTATTGAGAACTAGATTTTGCTCGCATGGTTGCATTCTTTGGTGAATTTGGCATGTACTACTGGTGCTTTTTGAAGAAGATGAAGAAGAATGGGGTAAGCACGTAAATAGAATGTGACAAGTATCTCATACTTGAAGGCAAATATTCAAAACTGGAACAATATGTATATTCGTGACTATTTCCACATCGAACTGTTGTGTTAAACTGTTATTGGCAAAGCTACAACCTTTCCTCAGTGAAATATTAGAAATTCAACTGTTAGTGAGATTATCTCGAAGAAAGGATGAGCTTATTATTCATTCTCAATCTATGGGCAGAACAGTTTAGAGATCAGTTCAGTTGGCCTTCTGCGACACTTTGGTTACTCACAATCTTCAGTCATCCTGAATGGCAAATCGATATTAGTTTTCCGAGTCTTTACGAAGTTGAGAAAGCGATAGGAAATCTGAAGCAAGGGAAAGCAGCGGGTCTTGATAGATTGACACCTGAGACATGTAAGGTTGGTGGTCCAGTTTTAGTAGCTAGATTGACTGAGATCTTAGGTAGAATCTGGGAACTGGACGCATTCCCATCTTACTTGTTTCAATCCCTGATTGTCCCAATTTATAAGAAAGGACAAAAGTCTTTTTGTGACAATCACAGGGGAATAAGTCTAACTAATATAGTATCTGAAATATTGGCCTCAATAATACTTCGCCGCTTAACGAAAGCTCGTGAAGAGCAGACTAGAGAAAACCAGGCTGGTTTCTGACATGGACGTGGCTGTATACATCTCGTATTCATACTATGACAGGTCCTGGAATACAGACACATTTAGGCGTCCTACAGTAGTTGTCTTCCTGGACCTCTATTGATCGTGAGGTTCTTTGGCAGTGTCTTTCATTAAAAGGTTAACCAAAGAAGTAAATTAACCTTATACAAGCTCTTTACTCGAACACTACAGGTCGAGTTAGAGCTGCACTTCTGTGTTAATGTGGAATGGAAACTTGAATTAATGTACGTGTACGTACGAATTTCTGCGTTGTTTCTGACTGATCGACCGGTTGTGTTAACTGTTTATTGCACATTTTATATCTGACTGAAAAGTTGGTCATTGATTCTTTTTTAATCAGTTAACAAAATGACATAGATTATTGCTTGATTTAATACAATCTACAACTTTCTCTGATCCGGTTTAACTAAAATGTCACGTATGTGATCTGTTATTTCATTTGAAAAGATTGAACTTGTTTGACCAATTTCCATTAAAGTTATGCATACATGCTCTTATGCATAAAAAATTATTTTCAAGCCTAATTAGATCAAAGTTGCAACTTAGTAATGTTAAACAGTGTAATGGGGAGACTAAAAAGACCTTACGGACGGTATTAGTCATCCAAAGATATGTTTATCACTGATGAATAATACATTAATAAATCGATGTACCTATACAAGAGACTAATAAATGCACAGCAATGGTGTCGGTGTCCAAGATCTAAACGTGATACGTGCTAGCTAATCCATCCCTTGAAACTGACTACTTCAGTTGAGAAGATAAGATAGGAATAGAAAGTTTGCTGGGTTACGTAATCATCTGTACGAACACGCATCTATATACATGTATATATTCCATCTCACTCAGAAGATGAAACTATTTGTTGATGAGTGATATGTATTCATCTTTTTTGGGCATTTTCTGATGACCTCATTCGGTCACCTCTTATTGGCTCACTATATCACCTATCTAGTGAGGGACTTTAACAACCGCATTTTGAAATTAGAAAATTTTTGCTGAAAACGTTTTCTGTTTCCTTTTCTCACTGTCCTTATACTCTCTTTCCGTATTTTTTTTTAATTAGAAGTGTAATGTGTGTTAGTTCAATCTATGTACGTACATCAGGTGGAGACAGTGTTTACTGATCTTCGTAGAGTTTTTACTTACTTACAACTGCTACCCCTAATGGAGCATAGGCCGCCGACCAGAGAATTATTTGTTCTGGTTAGCGTTTTTTGTTAGCGAGTTGGATTTCTACATGATAGGGTCGCCGCCTACCACCAAATGCCCAACCCTTCTCCTTTAATCTGGGCTTGGGGCTGGCAGCAGTAACTCTAAAAGGGCTCCAGGCGGAGTATTCGTATAGTTTTATTTTTCGCTAAATGATACGATTTCATTTTCAATCATTTCATGCTGTTTCTTTTTTTCTCTTTTTATGTTAGATCTACTTAAAAAATGAATTTCAGTAGTACAAAAAATTCAACTGCAATTTTAGACAAAAGTTTAACGAAACTACGTGGTGAAGTTAGTTGTTTCTTTACAGGATAATTTCAAAAAACAAATAAAACAAATTTTTCAATTAAATAGATTAATTTAGCAACGTTTGCTTATTTATTTGTGGAATTAGTCAAATATTCCATGCGTAATTTATCCAGTATGGATTTAGTTCAAAAAAGGTAGGATTTTGTGGTTGTGGTTTGTGTTATAGTATGCGTAAATTTTCTATCAAAAACATGAAGATTATTTTATTTAAATGCATAATTATTAGTAAAAAGTGGTACATAAGTATTTATGAGCTATACAAGTTATTGAAATTGCAAGCCGGCTTGGGATTCGGTCCGGGTGTCCAAGTGGTTTTCTCGAGAGGGTCACCACACACTGAGCCTTATGACCAGGTTGTATAATCCACAAAGCAGTGGAGCGAAGTCAGAAGATGCCGTCCTATAGTGGCTGGCGACCAGCGTTAGGTTTATTGTGCATTCATCCCTTCAGGACCGCGAAGCTTATGTGTAACATTGGTTTGAAGTTAGGGTTATCCTATCCACCTAGGTGGATCTGTAGTGTGTCGAATTACTGCGTGTTCTTTAGTTCGGTAATTAACTCGTCCAGACAATCGTTACCAAATAGCGTCTGACGATTTATAAATCAGAAGATGAATACGTTTATTCAGAACACACCACACAAAGCGAAGCGGAGAAACAGTGAATAAAACGAATGAAGCAACGTGAACTGGAGAAGGCTTTTGAGCCAACTCAAAGAGATAGAGCATGATTAAGAATATATAGTCAGACAATAATAAGACAGACACATGACAAGCGAAATAGGTATGCACACACGTGAGTAAAAGCGACGAATGACTGACAAGGTCAAAAGCAAGCGATACAAATCATGTGAGTTCATGGGGAAATTAAGCGAAACGGATGAGTAAGCGCGAAGGCGTAAACAATGCTCAGTCGTACAAGCTCATACAAACCGGATAATAAAAAATACCAATGGTACATATGAGTTGTCGCTATACAAATGGCTTGGTTAAATAAATTAATCGAAAGGCGTAATTAAATTAAGTATGAGCGAATTCAAGTTTATGTGGAGGCACTACAGATCCTCCATGCACCTATCAATGCGAATAATGCGCTGGTCATTCATTTTTCGTCCTCTCAACTTCGTAAGCAACACTCATGCCACGATAAATTAGCGATTAGGACTCAGCTGTCAGAAAATAATACACATGGTCATTTGAGAGCATTTAGAGATTGTGAGTGGACTGTTTCTACTCTGATCTGTATTTAGGGCGTTTTGGAGACTTTGAAGATATGGTATAGTTACTTAACTTCTGAATGCTAAAAAACTTTGGAATGCACATTATTTAACTAACGACATGATCTCAATACGAATAATACAGTCATTCAGTCAGCTACGACGTAGAACTTTGCACGTGTACGTACATACATCAGTTCAAGTTGTCATACCACATTAGCACACAAAGAGATGGAATCGTCTATTCGAATCTAAAAGTAGGTAAAGGCATTTAGATTTATTCATAATTATGTAGAAGATTAAGGTTAGAAAATGTTGATTTGAGAAGTGAATATTTTTGGCGAAATCAACTTAAGCAGATAAAAATAGTCATGGGGAATTTTTTCGAGGAGGAGGAGGATTTGAATTTGATTGAGAACACAAACAATCGGTGAACAGTGACAATGGATCGTTGATGTTTTGCAACAGGAACAGTCCAGTTCGATATGATGAACTGATATTATGCAAATTAACCGATTTACGATATGGTTTTCCGATTTTACTGAGTAACTCTGTAATTTTCGTTAAATAAAATTCGGTTGTCCTCACCTATGTTCTCCTTCACTACAGGTGCAACTGCTATGCGCCACCACTGCATCACGATTAATTCATTCAAACAAAAATGTTGAGTTTATTTTTATTTTTTCTCTTCTCTCTTATCCGAACTAGACTATCGGATTTCGGTAAATCAGTTGGTGAACGTATGGTTGATATTGTGTATACACGTGATCGACCGCATAAACGTGATATACGCCTGTACAATGCATTGATATTTTTAAAAAGTAATTTTTGGAAAAATTTATTCGGTAAAGAAGCTGACGAATTAGAACGTGATGGTGTGGATGAGAATATTTGTAAGATTGTTTTTTCTCTGTTCATAAAACTCGGATTATTTCAGTTTATATGATTGAACATGAACCTGTAGTGAATCGTTTCATACGATTCACTTATGAAGATAAAGATGAGAAACGTAAAACTTGTAAGTTTTCGTTTTTTTCAATTAACCTTGTATGTGTGCTAAAAAATTTAGTTGCACCACTGAATGTTGCTGCGTTCAATGCTGGAGTTGTTGAAGCATTTTTATCAACAATTGGTTTTGTAAGTTGTGTGTGTAGTGTGTAATTAATTGTATTTTATTCTGATTTCTATTTTTGTAGTAGTAGTGTGTGTGCGTGTGTGTGTTACACATGCATGTAAATATGTCAGTTTGATATGCTTAGAACTATTATGAATTGACCCCTTAGTCAGAAAATAAGAGCGAGTATCGAGGATCCGGCGACACAACAGGCTAATCTTAGCACAAAGACACAATTGTCAGTTCAAATCCAAGAGTGATAGCGATAGTAGAATTATTAGCAGCAATTAAGAAGATTAAGGAGTAATGATATTATTCAAGAAGTATAATTCAGTAAGATAAATTTAGAAGGAGAAAGATAGAGATGATGAGGAATTCAGAAGGTTAGAATTTCATAGAATACAAAGAGTGGATGCACCTGTGCCATTGCAAACGATTTTGACCCATATCATTCAAGGTCTCTAGTCATCGGTGACTTTCGTGTCGCGGACCCCAACCAGGTAGTCTACATCTACCAACATGACTCAGTCCACTTGTCAGTGACTTCATGGATTTCTGCCATGTTTTGGTTTGGCCGCCCCTAGCTTTCTTCCAACCTACTCCTACACCATAAAACATATCTACTCTTATCCGAGCGTGTCACACTCCCATCGAGTATAAGAAGAAGACTTTAATGTGGAGTACAACCTGTATTCTACAAGCATCCTGAAAGTATGAGGTCCAAGTCCAGAAGAGAATCAGGATCCCGGACTAGAGATCCGTGTCCGGATCATAAAACGTTACAGATAATTCATGTTTATGCAGTTAGGTTGAATAGGAAACAACATTTGAAGTATGTGATATTGACAGTTAGGACGATCAAAATAGGAATGAATCAACAGGAACTGATATTGGATGAATATCTTAACAATGTGATGTTGTTATGTGTTCTGTGTGTGTGTGTGTGTGTGTGTGTGTGAAACTAATCATCAAACTGATTGTTTTCATCATTAAAAAAAGATTTTTACTTGTGATATGTGCAAAAACATTTTCATCAACATCTATACTGTAACAAAAGTAGCAAAAGTTCACCATTTTTCTTCAACATATAATTGTCCGATTCACAAGCCTTTTTTATGTAACAATCATTATGAACTTATTAATATAGACAGCTAGTTAGAAGTCGTCGAGCGAACACGGTCATTTGATGACGAATGTATTTTTGCTGGTCGATAAATGAATTCATTTTCTTAGGAGAGATGTGTATATTTATGTATATGAAACAATAGCTGAATAGACTTTATCTTCCTACGCTTGCCTTCCCTCCAGTCTTAAGTAAGTAGTCAGTTTGTCGAGTTAGTAGCGCCTATCATTCATGTTCAGATCTTGCACATCGGTCATACTTTAGAATCTGATTATAGGATGAGAAAGCTTTCTTTTTTGTGCATCTTCGAGGAGAAATTCAATAGATTACTAGAATGAATCGATTTTTCACCGAGTACTCTAATTTAAAGCCATTCAACGATATGAATAAACTCAATTCATTTTAAATTGTGTGGTTGTCAGTGTAAAATGCAATTAGTCATTAAGCTTGGACAAACAGGTACTTAGCCTACTAACTCTTAAAAATCAGTGATTTTCATTTCTTGTGTATATTTCAACTCTGGACTCACTGTATGAAATAAAGTATTATTGTCTATCGTTTACTCTAGTTCTTAATTTAGGTCACGAATCGAGTATTTGATATAATCTGATCGATTCTCTGTGTGTAATGTTACCTTTTGAGTGTCCAATCCAGTAGTAGTGTAAACTTAGTCACCCAGACCAGCTCTGTTCTACCATGGTAATACGACAGAAGAAAAGTTTACCAAAAGGAGACAATCACAAATTATTACACACTGATCCTAGTTATTATGTGAAAAACCTTGTGTGTTTATTTATACGTCTAGATATGTAGGCCTTGACCGTAGCTGTTACCTTGACGTGGTGGCCGGGCTTGCCGGTCGTGATGACGCAATCGAGCTGTATTAGCTGCAGGTCGATTGGAGAACGATGAGACTAAAAGCAGCTACTCAAGGTCTGAGGGCGAAGTCGTACTGCTGACTGTAGAGGGGTTTGATAGTAGCAGTTATGTGTTTCTCTCGGAAAACCAGTATCTGCAGCGACGCCGCCTTCTCACAAGGAAGCAAGGGGTTAGAAATAGTCGACCCTAAAAATGTCACACCTTACGTTACCTCACGGATTACCGTCTCCGGCGGTAAGACCTTAAGAAAAGAACGAAGCTAAAACTTTACAAACTTCTCACAAAATGGCTGTGCGTGACCGGTGTCAAGCAGTTGTTTCTTGGGCTCTGCGTTCACGCTCCCAGGACTCTAAGACCAACGCTAATCCAACCTCTTTTTCGAATTCCTCAAGAAAATACCCTTTCACGGTGTAGGCAGCCGATAAGAGACATCCACCCTCATACCCGTAACAGCACCCGAGACGGGATGGGTCACAATCTAGATATGTAGGTGAATATTTTGACAATGTAGTTTTTCTTGGAATGATCAATCGATTGTACTTCGTCAGCAACGAATTCAATGTGAAGGATACTTAGACTCATCAAAACTGTAGTCATAAATATGAGTGTGGAGATAAAAAATCCCGACCTATATTTGCAACGTTTATCCACTACTAATAAAAAGTAGTCTCTGTTCATTTCTATCAAGGAAAGAGTTTTTTTTAAGGCAAACTAACCCGTACTGTAAGTAAGGTCGATTGAGTGTAGGTTCCATTGGACAGCATCTCAAAGTGTTTGTATGAATAAAGTACCTAACTTGTTAGATCCCCAGAACTCACTTGATAAGGGTCCTGATTTCGGATTTTATGCTTTCGAGCATGGGCTGATCAGTTAACCTTGGGATTACAGTTTCCACTCGGAAAATCCCTGGTTGTTATTGGTTGATGTAATATTTCAATGCGCTATTTTTGTAGCTCTCTCCCAAGGACGTTTCTATGATGTATAATAACAAACTCGATTTGTGTGCTTGTGAAAACCTCATATTTTCTGGTTGCTTTTATAATACACTTTCTACGTCTTGTCAAAGACTTCTTCATCTACTTAGTGGGGCCTTGGATCACTTGTCTTCGCTCTCATTTACCGACTAAGGTGAACTCGGAATAGCATTCAAGCATTAACAACTAGTGTCAAGCATAACACTCATTACTGCACACGCATGTTCTACAAATGCATCAAAAATTTTCATTGTATAACGATTTATTTCCTTAATTTTTTCTAGCCTTGTACAGTTTCAGCCACATGGTATAAAGGAACTGCTTATGTTATTAAATTTGAAGAATCAGTTAATATTCGTGAACGACAGTTGGACAATCGATAAACAATTAATTTACAATTTGGACAAAAACTTATCAAAAACCTACAATTAGGAAATTTTATTTATCAGTGATGTATTTTATATATATTCTGTCTATAATCACTAAAATACATTGATATTCTTCTTACTCATATCACTCACTTGTTTACAATTAAGCTTATCTGTTATTATTTGAGTGTACTACCATTTTCCATCACAAATGATTATTGATGGCGGTAATCTTTGTTAAGTCATAATATCAGCATTGCAAATCATAACCCTATGTTAGTTATATTATAACTAATTGTAGTTATGTCATAACTAACCAATCAGATTGGTTAAGCGCTCACCACGTCATCTAGTTTGACCAGTCTATGGACTTTCTTGTTGTGAACGGCCTATCGATTGAAGGATGTTATTATTTTATTTTATATAGATGTGACTCATGTTTTTCATTCATTTTCTAAAGACACGCTTTACTGTCCGGTACGTTTGCTCATCCTGCTTGATAATTGTAATTTCCTTATTTATTGTACTAAATTAATCGTTTTCTTTTTGTTTAGAAACAGATAAAGTTTAAAAACCGAATTGTCTTCTGTTAACCATAGTTTCACTTTGGATTCTGTCATCGGCGGTATTTGCGTTTACGTTTTTAGAATTACATCTGTAGGACAAATTAAATCCTACACCCTATCTGATTGTTCATTGTAAGTAATCTGGATCATGCATACTTCACTTACAGTAAACACGTAATCAACTGATTTCCCGTTAAGATAGACAAACAGACAGATACAACGCAAAACGTCGTACGTGTAAGTACATCAGTTCATGTTGCTATGCCCCATCAGCACAGAGACATAACTGTCAGTTCAAATCCAAAAGTGATAGCAACAGTAGAAGTATTAGCAGCAATCGAGAAGATTAGGAAGCGAAGATATGATTCGAGAAGTATAATTCAGTAAGATAAATTTAGAAGGAGAAAGGTTGAGATTATGAGGAATTCAGAAGGTTAGAATTAGAGAGAACACAAAGAGTGGATGCACCTGTGCGATCGCAAACGATTCTGATCTATGTCGTTTAAGGTCACTAACCATCGGTGAATTTCGTCTCGCGCACCCCGACCAAGTAGTCTACACTTACCGACATGACCCAGTCCACTTGTTAGTGATTTCATAGATTTCTGCCATGTTTTGGTTTGGCCGCCCCTAACTTTCTTCCGACCAACTCCTACACCACAAAACATAGCTCGTCGAGACAGTCAGTGGTTAGGCATACGTAACACATGTCCCAACCACCTCAACTGATAAAGTTTTCCTTACTGCATCTATTGATTTGCCATCCCTACCTAGGACCCGTTTCCTAAAGACAGCATTGCTTATACGGTTGTCCCAGGATACACGAGCAGTGCTTAGGAGACATCGAAGACGAAAGTCCTCTACTCTTCACAGCCGAGTTTCGCATCCGTACAGTAGAACAGAGCGAACGTTTTAAGACAGATACATTCAGTGTCACTTCAGGAGAAAAATTCAATCAACAGCATCAAGTACTGACTTATTACAAACGACGATAATTTTTTTTCTACTTGACACTGTTGATAGGACGCCCCCTAATATAGCATATTTTTAAATGTGAAAACGCTTTCACTCTCTCTCTCTTCCAATTCGAGTCAAGTAATCTATTCAAACAAGGCTTCTTGGTGATGTAGGCAAACTTGTTTTGTTGTAAGATGGAAAAAAAACCCACATTGATTATTTGATACATATATATTTATATATTATACAGATAATAAATTTTTTGTTTAAAATAAATATGTGTGTACAACATTTAACAATTGAAAAAAAAACATTGTGAAAAAGAAAGTAACTACCAGTTGGGCTGTGCATTAGCTAGACGACGCATTCGTCTGTAAACAAAAAAATAATGATGAAGAGAAAGATGTATATGATGAAAATGGGAAAATGATAAGTGTTTAATAAGTAAAAAAAAAAGAATGCAAATTACGTGTAGACCAAATATTTCAAACACTTCAGAGCCCCTAAATGTCCTGATACGACTGAGAGTGTTGAAAGTCCGCTCACCTCCAAATACTCACACAGTCGCACCTGTATATACTCGTTGCGGGGGTGTTGTTTACGTAGCTGAGTAGATGGGAAGCGAATGTTCGGTGAGGGCTTAAATCGAGTAGGCAGGTACGGATAATCCACCTAGAAGGGTAGGAAAACTCATTCCAAATCACTGGTGCACATAGGTTTCATGATCTTGAAGTAAACGGAATGGTGTATGAACCTATTGTTAGTGACCGGTCATTACGGTCACGTTGCTACGATGCCGTGTGTAGCCTCTTGAGAGGACTACTCGTTTCGGTTTTGGCGCCTGGACAGTATTCCAATTCACGCACAAATTCGATTATTTTTGTGGCGCGTAAGTATTTCGGTGTCTGTTTGTACCGATTAAATATGTGTTTACATAAAACAGAATATTAGAATCCGTAGTGTACATGATTAGTGAGGTACGATATCCAAACCTAAACATTTATACATGGTGGTAATTTAGTGTGAACTAATGAAAAAAATATTTTGAAACCCATTCATAAAAACATTTGTGAATTCAGGTTGCTTTATATTAGTGGGACATAGATGGAATTAAAGCATGACTACGTTGCTGTGCGCTGATTAGCTAATTTCCTATCCAGTCAGCGCCTGATCGATTCTTCTCGTGTTGCTGGCTGCACTCTGATTGGCTAAATCTAATCCAGCCGATCACGTGAATTTCTATCCAGAAGCTTCTCATGTAAATACTATAAAGAATCTAACGTTGTATCTATTTTTGCCTTCTTCGCCTTATTTCCATTTGACCTTGCTATTTGGAATAGAATCTTTTTCCTGTTCCATCGTGTTTTTGATTCTTTGGAACTTGTCCAGTGTATTGTGTGGTCCGAGAATAATAAGCAATAGGAGTTAGCTGGGAATTATTTAAGCAAGCGTTTACTACACTTTACTTTCCCGATTAAAACCATTATTCGAAAGACAGAATTGAGGAACAATGTTTGAATTGTTGATTAGAATTAAAAAATGTAAATCATCTGAGCTACATGTGTTTTTTGTAAACAAACAACTAAAAAGCTTTGATATTTTGTAAAAAAACAACCTTAATTTTTATTTGTCGATCGCTAACTGCTACACGATGATATTGAATTAGATTTTAAACCAATTATGTATGTGAAAATGATAATGCCCTACGTATATTCGAACTGGTAGTGAACATTAGTATCGATTGTCATCCCCTTTTCCCTTTTTTTATATGAGTTTAATTACATGAACAGGAGAATTAATCATGAAGTATTTAGTAAAAATGTATCCTATTCGATTATAGATTTCATAGAACCACTTGCTCGTATATGCTGGGACCATCGAGTAAGTAATGCTGTTGGTAAGCAAACGGGTCCTAGGTAGGGATGGCAAATCAATAGATGAAGTATTGGAACTTCATCAGTTGAGGTGGTTGGAAAATGTGTTACGTACGGCTAGCCACCGACTGCGTCGACGAGTTATGTTTTGTGTACTAGTGCGCTGCGCGCTACTTTTAAGTAGTATATGACGTGAGAGCGTCAACGTAATGTCTGGCAGCAGAAGAGGATGGGGGAAGATCAACAAGAAAGGAAGAGTGAGGGGAACACAATGGAATTTGTATGAAACGCATGAATAGTGAAATGTCAGACAATGGATAGAAGATTTGCAAATTAACAACGGTTTACGATATGGTTTTCCTATTTTACTGATTAACTCTGTAATTTGCGATAAATACGATTCGGTTGCCCTCACCTGTGTTCTCCTTCACTACACTAGTAGATTGGATGAAAGCTAAGGGAGGCCAGACCAAAACATGGCAAAAATCCATGAAGACACTGATAAGTGGCGCTGAATCATGTTGGTAACTGTAGAATACCAGGTTGAGGTCCGTGAGATGATATTAATCGATCGTTAGAGACATTGAATGATATGGCTGAAAACCGTTTGCAATGGCACAGGTGTATTCATTCTTGAACTTCTCTCAAACTCTAATCTGCTGAATTTCTCATCACCTTTCTGTTTCTAAGTTTATTTCACGGGATTATACTTCGTGAGTAGTATCTTGATTCCTAAACTTTCTAATTACTGTTAATACTTCTACTACCTCTACTACTATGGGATTTGAAGTGATAATGACGTCTTTGTGTTAATGTGATATGGTAACTTGAACTTACGTACGTACGTACGTACGAAGTCCTACGTTGCTGTTGATTTGATTGATTTTTGACATGTACAAGGTTGGCGTGCATCTTTCGTATACACTTTAATAACTGACATTGACAGAGAATCTCACAAACAAGAGAGTCAAATGCCGCCTTAAGGTTGGGAAATACAGTTATTATCGGACGTTGTAACGTGTGTCTATGTTCTGGCATCTGACGAAGTGTGAATATTTTGCAGGTCTGAAACCAACCTGGTTTTCTCTAGTCTGCTCTTCACGTGCTATAGTTAGGTTTCTAAGTATAATCGAGGCTAACAATTTACAGACTATATTAGTTAAACTGATTCCTCTGTGATTGTCACAAGAGGACTTTTTTCCTTTCTTATAAATTAGGACAATCAGTGATTAGGATCAGTCAGATGGGTTTATGCCGTTCCCAGATTCTACCTAAAATCTCGGTCAGTCTAACTGTTAAAACTGGACCACCATCCTTAAACAATCTCAGGGGTTAAACTTATCAAGCCATGCTGTTCGCCATCGCTTCAGATTTCCCTATAGCTTTTTCAACTTCATAAAGAGTCCGAAGGCTTACATCGATTTTACCATTTCGGTTGACTAGAGATCGAACTTTAATAATAATTACTTGGGACAGCTTATATATTCTCTCATGAAGTCAGTAGAGGTTGATTTGATAAGAACTTGAAAGATGACAGAAAATAAATGAAATCATTTCTACAACACTAAATCATCATTCCTTACCTGGTATTCCGATCTTGATCGCGTATTTTCTTCTCCATTTCTGCATCAGTAAGAACTTCAACAACTGGACTCCATTGATCCGCTTCATTGGAATTACGAAAAACTATATCGACTGTCGGTAGAGGCGATTCACTGAATAAATTTATATATATTTATATAAAGATGCATTAACATGATAATTGTGGTAAGCAGTTTAATTAAATCAAACTATTTTTGCAAATAAAAGAATGAGAGAGTTATGCAATTTGTTAGTGGGACATAGATTGTGTGGTGCGAGCTACTTATAAGTAGTATATGACGTGAGTGTCAACGTAATGTCTGGCAGCCGAAGATGAGGAAAGATCAAGAAAGAAAGGAAGAGTTAGAACACAATGGAATTTGTATGAAACGCATGAATAGTAGTGAGGATGGATTGATGTTTTGCAACAGGAACAGTCCAGTTCGATATGATGAACTGATATTTTGCAAATGAACAATTTACGATATGGTTTTCCGATTTTACTGAGTAACGCTGTAATTTTCGTTAAATACAATTCGGATGCCCTCACCTGGGTTCTCGTTCACTACAATTGGATTAAAGTATGATTGTGTTGTCGCGCGCTGATTGGCTCTTTCGTATCCACCAATCAATCAGCGCCAGTCGATATTGGGGGAACATTCTAGAATCTTCTCATGTATACTAACGTATTTTTCGTTTGGACCTTCTATCTCCCATCTAACCTTGTTATTGGAATACAATCTCTCTTTTTTCCTGTTCAACCGTGTGTTCTGATTTTTGGGGAGAACGTCTCGAGTGAATTTGGTGTCCGAGAATATTAAGCATTAGTAGGAATAGCTGGGTTGTAATAAAGAGAGAATTATAACACAATTGCTTGCCAATTTTCTTCATCCTATAAGTTTTAATGACAGTGTAACATATTATTAAGCAGTCAGTCAGCGATAGCATGGAGATTCGTACATCTACGTACATCACTTCAAGTTTTTATATCACTTTAGCTCAGAGAAATGGAATTTTCAATTCATATCCCATACTTGTAGAGATGACAGAAGTATTAGCGGTAATGGAAAAGATCAGGGTTCGGAAAAAACTATTCAAGAAGTATAATTCAGTGACATAAATTTAGAAAGTGAGGAATGGAAGTGATGAGCAATTCAAAAGATTAGAATTTAAGAGAGCACAAAGAATGAATGCACCGGCGCCATTGAAAACGATTTCGAGCCATGTCATTCAAGGTTTCTAATCATCGGTTATGATTATCTTGTGGACCCTATTCAGGTACTTACATCACTCAGTCTTGAGAAAAAAAAGGCTTATGAACCTGTTATTAGTCACCAGCTACCATGACACCGCATATCCTAACGTTGCTCCCCTAGCCCTGTGGATTAGACTTCCAAGTCAAAGACTCTAGAAGTGGCTTCCTAAAAAAACCGCATGCTTTTGTTTCGCCACTTAAACTACTCACAATTTCAGTAATTTGTGTGGCTCTTAAATATACAGGTGTCCGCTTATACTGATAATTGTATGTTTAAATCAATAAATAAGAGCGGTACTAAATTTCAATCAAACATTTCAAGTGTCCAATAAAATTATCTGATAACTTAGTCGTATATTAAGAAAAAAAAACAGTTTATATAGGAGAGAAGTTGTAATAGATAGTTGTAATCAAAGTAATAACAACAAAGTTTACAGAGTAAAATGAATTTATTATATATTTCAAGGCATTCCATCAACAGCTCAATCACCAACTGCCTCGATGAGCTTTGTTTTGTAGTGTAGGAGTAGGCTGGAAGAAAGCTAGGGGCGACCTAACCAAAACATGGCAGAAATCCATGAAGTCATTGACAAGTAGGACTGAGTCATGTTGGTAGATGTAGACTACCTGGTTGGGGTCCGCGAGACGAAAGTCACCTATGGCTAGAGACCTTGCAATAGCGCAGGTGCATCCACTCTTTGTGTTCTCTCAAATCTTAATCTTTTGGATTCGTCAACGACTCTACCTTTGTCTTCTTCCTAACCTTATCTCACTGAATTATACTTCTCGAATAGGTATCTTCAAATCCTAATCTTATTCATTACCAATAATTCTTCTACTTACTATCTCTACCACTTTGGGATTTGAATTGACAATTCCATCTCTATGTGTGCTAATATGGTATGGCCACATGAACTGATAGTATGTACTTACATACGAAGTTCTACATTTGTAACTCACGGACTGATTGAATATAATATTTTCAGAAAATGTACAACTTATTATGATCAACAAAGGACTTAATGTCAAATACATTCGGATCGTTCAGAGTTTTTTAGAGTTATTGAATAACTAGGAAATCTTATACTTTATACTTTAAGAAATGCGGATGTCGATATTTTCCTAAAATTGTATAATTTTTTTCAGAATTTGTTCCTGTTTGTACTTCATTCGGTAACACTACACTTAGGCAATGCATATCATGTGTGTACATGAAATGATGACGGTTAATTAACCAACAACAAATCATAAAATACTAATTTACCTGAAAGCATAAATTTTCTGATGCCATGCAAGTTGTCCACGTATACTATATGCGACAGCAGTAACAAATTCACCGCCTAAACCTAATTCAGCACATAGACGTGATGCAAATAATTCCGGTGAATTATTCGGTTCTGATAGATCCCATTCAAATTGATCCACTAATGATATATTGCCTACGTGAATATTTAAACGAATAATCACACGTGTATCAGTTTGTCCAATAAGAAAATCATTCATTGGATGAGCGTCGATCTATTTATCATAAACAAAAATAAAGAAATCATAAGTGATAAAAATGAATTTTGCTTTCAGTTTATATGAATCTAAACTGGCAGTGAAATTGAACCAATGAAAATAATACAAAATACATGAAATAGTGTGAGTGTTTTATGTTTATTCTCAGTTAGTCAGTCAGTCAGATGCGCAACGTAGAACTTTGTACGTAACTACGTCCATCAGTTCCTGTTGCCATACCATATTAGCACATACAGAGATGTAATTGTCAATTCAAATCCAATAGTAAAAGAGGTAGTAAAGGTATTAGAAGTAATCGAAGAGGTTAGCATTAGAAGATATTATAATTCAAGAAGTATGATTCAGTGAGAAAAGTTTAGAAAGTCAAAACTAGAGGGGTTGAAGAATCCAGAAGATTAGGATTTGAGAGAACACAAAGAATAAATGCACCGGCGCCATTGCGAACGATTTTGAGCCATGTCATTCAAGGTCTCTAACCATCGATTATTATCATCTCGCGGACCCCAACCAGGTAGTCGACAATTACCGACATGACTCAGTCCACTCGTCAATGACTTCATGGATTTCTGTCATGTTTTGGTTTGGCCGCCCCTAACTTTCTTCCAACCTATTCCTACACTACAAAACAAAGCTCTTCGAGGCAGTCGGTGGTTAGGCATACGCAACACATATCCCAACCACCTCAACTGATGAAGTGTCACTACTGTGTCTATTGATCTGTCATTCCTACCTAGCACCCGATTCCTAACGACAGCATTGCTTACTCGGTTGTCCCACGATATACGAGCAATGCTTCGAAGACACCTATGATCGAAAACCAGTAACCTACGAATATCTTCTACTCTGACTGGCCATGTTTCACAGCCATAAAGTAAGATGGAGCGAACTGCTGCGCAGTACACTCGTCCTTCAGTCAGTAAACTGATATCTCGCCTACGCCATAAGTGACGCAGGTTGGCGAAATTCAATGCCAGAACCACATATCAAAAGAGTAACATTGGCACATCAGGATTATAATGAAATCCAGCTATACTGTTTGCGATGCCAACGACCGATAGAGCTGTGGTTGCATTAGATGAGCTGGGCTGTGTGGAAGGGGAAAATCTTCATGTCTGTTAACATGTGCATCAGTTTCAGCTGTTGCTCAAGTAGAATAATTCAAGTTTGGCAGGATTCATATTTCCAAATGTACCGTCGCCACTGTTATATTCGTCACCCTGAAGCTATTACGACGAGTTCACCGTAGTCGATAAAAGCGAACAAGACAATGAACCAGCGTCCAGATAGGCTACATTGAATACCAAGCTGTAGACAAGAGTCTTTGTAAGCGTAGAAAGCACATTCTACAAACATCTAACAATCACAATCAATCCAAGCACTCAAACTGCGTTTATTTATACTCCATAGAAACGTCCTTGGGACAGTTACGAAAATAGCACACTAAAATACACAGCAGCCAATCACACACAGCCATGGATTTTCCTGGTGGGAAATGTGATGTCAAGGTCAACTGATCGGTCCATGAAATAAATCCGAAATCAGGATATTTATCAAGCGAGTTTTGGGGATCTAACATCCCCAACAGAGTAACAAGAGTCGTGGATGCGCACTGTCACTGATGAATATATCTCATACCAGGAAGAAACGGCTGCCCAGGGTTATCAGTTTGCTGTTAATTGTAGTTGAACAATGATCGATTCATGATTTCAAGGTGAAAAAAATATGGTCTTCATAATACTTTAATGCAAAGTCGAAAAATTCGCTCACTAGTGACTAGCTTCCTGAAGTTCTCGGAGTTCTAATGAGAAAACATAACCAGTGGAGTTCAACCCTGCCGGGTGTAGGCAGTTGTTACCCAGCGAAGACAATGCTTGAGGTTACGCGAATGTCGTTAGATTGATTAGAGTTAGTGTTAGGATATTCATCAAATATCCTAAGAGAACTATATTTTTTGTTAAGTCTAATTCTATTGGTCTATTCCTATTGGTCAATATTATAGTCGTCCTTGCAATCAATGTCACAATCTTCAATGTTGTTTCCTATTCGATCTAACTGTATAATTACGTATTATCTGCAACCTTTTATGACTCAGACCTCGTACTTTATGAATGCTTGTAGAATACAGGTTCTACTTCATATCAAATCTTCTTCTTTTACTCAATCGGGGTTTGGGACGTTCGGATTACAGTAGCCTGTCGTTTCGCCGGGTCCTCGGTCTTCGCTTTCGTTTCCCGACTAAGGTAAACTCGTAATAGTTCAAGATCAAGTTGACGTGTTTACGTACATGCGTAACAGTTAAACATTAACACCTTTGAATGTCGGCTCAGTGGACCAGAGGTTAAGCGTTCATGTGCAAGACCGAAGGTCTTGCTTACTTACTTACGCCTGTTACCCCCAATGGAGCATAGGCCGCCCACCAGTTTTCTCCAACCAACTCTGTCCTGGGCTTCTCTCTCCAGTTCTGTCCAATGTTTGTTCATTCCTCTCATATCTTTCTCTATTTCTCGGCGTAATGTGTTCCTTGGCCTTCCTCTTTTCCTTTTGCCTTGAGGGTTCCATGTGAGGGCTTGTCTCGTGACGCAGTTCGGTGCTTTTCGTAGTGTGTGTCCTATCCACCAACTCCACCGCTTCTTCCTGATTTCCTCCTCCACTGGAATCTGGTTTGTTTTCTCCCACAGTAAGTTGTTGGTGATGATTGTGTCTGGCCAACGAATCCGAAGTATTTTGCATAGACAACTGTTCATAAACACTCTTGTATCTTCTGAATGATGATGGCTTTCGTAGTTCTCCAAGTTTCCGCTCCATACAATAGAACTGTCTTCCCATCAATAGTAAGTAATAAGATAATAAGTGTCCTTCAATTTGTAGATCATTTACAACAAAGAAAGTTTACTTACAGACACGTCAGATCAGATCACGTGTTGGATGGTTGCTTAAACTACAATCTGATTGGTTAGTTATGCAAATAACTATCACTTGTCTTAGTATAAACTAATTGCATTACATAGAAAAAATTTTAGTTTTTATAAAAAACTATTTACTTGTTGTCGCATAGCATTCACAATAGCTGGCACAAAATTTATCGGATTCAAATCTAAATCATCACATAATACTTCAGCCATTTGTTCCAATGTAATCAGCTGTTCATTACGATTCCATGTAAAACAATCACGTAGCTTTACACCATCACATTCTATATCTAGTCGAATTGGCACCAAGCATTCCGGTTGACGTGCATTCTCATGAAATGCGATTGGATCGGAATCATCCAAACAGAATGGAAATGTAAATGATTTACTAGTTTGTCGAGCTAGATAGAATATGCAAAATATAAATGAATGAATGAGTGATTTAGATTTGTAAATAAATCATAAAAATAAGAAACTCAATGTACTGTTAAGAGTTTTTTTTTGTAAAAAAAATAATACCAGAGACAGAATAATGTTGGGGACGTGAGATCCCCAGAACTCGCTTGATAAAAAATATCTTCATCTTGGATTTTATTCATGGGCTAATCAGTTGACCTTGAGATCAAAATTTCCCGCCAGGACAAGTCTTGGCTGTGATTGGTGGATGTGTTATTTTGGTGTGCTATTTTTGTGATTCCGTTAGGATATTCATCTAATATCCTAAGAGAATTATTGGTCGATTCCTATTGGTTAATATTTCTACTGGTCAATTTTATGGTCGTCCTAGATATCAATGTCACTTGCTCCAATGTTGTTTCTTATTGGTTGTCCTGACTATCAATGTCACTTCAAATGTTACTTCCTATTGGTCGTCTTAACTGTCAATGTCACAGAATTCGATGCTGTTTCCTATTCGACCAAAATGTATAAATACGCATTATCTGTAACGTTTTGTGAGCAGGAGGACCCGTTTCCGGATCCCTAGTCCGGGATCCTGATTCTCTTCTGGACTCGGACCTCGTACCTTCTGGATGCTTGTAGAATACAGGTTCTACTTCATATCAAGTCTTCTTACTTTACTCAATATGGGGGGTTAGGATAATCGGATTTGAGTAGCATGTCGTGTCACCGGATCCTCGATCGTCGCTCTCGTTTTCCGACTAAGTAAACTCGTAATAGTTCAAGTATATCAAGTTGACGTGTGTACGTGCAAGCATAACAGACTCTCCCAAGGACGTTTCTACGATGTATAAATACATGAGATTTGTGTGCTTGAAATGACTGCGTTTGCAGGCTGGGTAATTGTAGAATACACTTAGTGCGCTATATCAAGACTTCTTTGTTAGTTCCTTTGGGGCAACCGATCAGAGTAGTATAACGAGTCACTGGTTCATTGTCTCGTTCTCGTTTATCGACTAAGGTGAAGCCGTAATAGTTTCAAGTATAACAAGTGACGAGCATAACAAATAAGTACAAATGCGGTACCTAAATATTAATACGTTATTGAAATTTATTGAACTAATTGTGCGCTGGGATACTAACCCAGCAGTTCAAATCGAAACAGATGGTTTCCTTAGGGGAGCGATGCCCTGAGACTTTAACCCAAATATCTAATCAATGAGGTAGTGGAGCGACATCACAAGATGTTATTTCATAATAAGAGCCGGCTATCAACAGTAAGTCTATGTACCATTCGTTCTGTCAGGATCCTGGAGTTCAAAATGCGTCATTGGCTTGGAAGTAGGATTTTATAACTTGTCATGTCATTCAGGGTATCGATTATTATCATCTCGCGGACCTCAACCAGGTATTCGACATCTACCAACATGACTCAGTCCGCTTGTCAATGACTTCATGGATTTGTGCCATGTTTTGGTTTGGCCGCCCCTAGCTTTCTTCCAACCAACTCCTCCCACACTACAAAACATAGTTCGTCGAGGCAGTCGGTGGTTAGGCATACGTAACAACACATGTCCCAACCACCTCAACTGATGAAGTTTTGATTACTTCTGTCACTGATAAGTAGTCCCATATACCATGAAGAAATGGCCATCCAACGCTACCAAGTTTCTAATGATGATGGCCTAACTAAGATCGATTCATCAATTAAACAATATACAAAACAACGAGTCTATAATCGTAAAAAACCCAAATACAACTAACTACTAACCAGTTCTTAATCGACTAATTGGAGTTGGACAAGGCACTGAATCTAAATGAAATGATGTATTCGGTGTTGAACCAACACCAAGCCATCGACTACTATCTCTTCTCGACTTGAAATTTCCACTTCCACTGATATGATCCATAGCACCTGTGACAGTATTCATAACACCTGATGATAAATTTGTTGATGTTGACAAATTACCACCGATGGAATTGAAACTTGTACGACCAGTAGATGATAATGATGATGATAACGATGATGATGTATAACCAACATTCAGTTTGGTTGAACTGGTATTCATGTGAAAATTTCTTAATTGTTGATTGGTTGTTATTGGTAAACAATCGTTGCCAATCAATTGACGACAACCTTTTAATTCAGCTAAACGATCTTGATCGGAAATGATTTCATTCACTTCATAGGTACGTAATAGCATAGCATTGGTAGCTGTGATAGAAGTGGCTAAACCTGTATTGTGCATGAAAGATGATAATAGATTTTTAGAGAAGATTGTTTGAATGAATATACAATAATGAAAAAAAAATTGGTTATTGAATCAGTTAGTCAGTCAGCTACAATGTGTGGAACTTCGTACATACGTACATCAGTTGAAGTTGTCATATCATATTAGTGCGCATCCACGACTCCTGCACCCCGCAGGATTCGAACCCAGGACCTTCGGTATTGTAGGCGAACGCCTAACCAAGTTAGACAGTAACACCGTTAGATACCGGCTCAGTGGTCCGATGGTTAGGCGTTCGCCTACAATACCGAAGGTCCTGGGTTCGAATCCTGCGGGGTGCAGGAGTCGTGGATGCGCACTGCCACTGATGAGTCCCATACCAGGACGAAACGGCCGTCCAGTGCTTCCAGGTTTCTAATGGTGGTCTAATATTGATCGAATCATGGTTTCAAAAATGTGTAACTTAACAATCTTCACAACCCCGTTAGGCAAATGTTGAGGTGTTGACGAATTCAGAAGATTAGGATTTGAGAGAAAACAAAGATTGAGTGCACCTGCGCCTTTGCAAACGATTTTAAGTCATGTCGTTTAAGGTCTCTAATCATCGATTACTATCATCTCACGGACCCCAACCATGTAGTCTGCATCCAACAACATGACTCAGTTCACTGGTCAATGACTTCATGGATTTGTGTCATGTTTTGGTTTGGCCGCCCCTAGCTTTCCCCCAACCTACTCCTACACCACAAAACATCACTGGTCGAGGCAGTCGGTGGTTAGCCATACGTAACACATGTCCCAACCACCTCAACTGATGAAGTTTCAATACTTCGTCAATTGATCTGTCACCGCTTCCTAATGGCAGCATTGCTTACTAGGTTGTCCCAGGATACACGAGCAATGCTTCGGATACACCTATGATCGAAGACTAGTAACCTACGGAAGTCCTCTACTCTTAACGGCCAAGTCTCGCATCCGTACAGTAGGACCGAGTGAACTGCTGCACAGTACACTCGTCCTTTAGTCAGCAAACGGATATCTCGCCTTCATCATAAGTGACGCAAGTTGGCAAAAGCTAATCGAGCCTACTATATCCTACTGTATCATAGTTTCATTATTATTCAAGAAGTATAATTCAGTGAGATAAAGTTTAGAAAGACAAAGGTAGAGGTGTTGACCAATCCAGAAGATTCGTGTAGTGACGTGAATCAATTGCATTTCATTGTGATTATTGACTCATAAATTGCCTTGATTAGTTTAACAGTTTTCATACAATAACTATTCATATATGAATATTAAAGTAAAGCAACCTGATAACGACAATCTAATCGAAAACAATACTAATGTTCGCTTATATATCTTGTGTATGTTGTTCTAATTAGTTATTCAGTCAGAATGTTTGACAATATACTATAGAAAAGAAATTTGATGAAATTCAATGTGTAGCAAGATTTCACAGTTAGGATAGATAATAATACTATTTATTGTTCTTACCCATTTGAATTAATTTCTCTTTTTCCTCGGGTGTTACTAATCGTTTCCATAAGTTTGGATATTTTTTAAATAATTCTTTACGAAATAATCGTAGATAACGACCGACCTAATGAATGAAAGTGAAAAAGAAAAAAGAAGGGAATAGTTTATTAATTTCACGTTTGAGAAATTAACACACACCATAGAAATCTTTTTTTTTAGCGTTTCGTGTCTCACACAGAAACAGACAGATACAACACAGAACTTTGTACGTATGTACAACAGTTCAGGTTGCCATACCACATTAGCACAGAGACGTAACTGTCGGTTCAAATCCAGTAGTGGTAGCGATAGTAGAAGTATTAGCAGTAATGCAGAGGATTTTGGTATAACTGAGTGAGATGAAGGTACAGAGAGAAAGATAGAGATGGTAAGGAGTTAAGGTTAGAATTTGAGAGAACACAAAGAATGAATGGATGCACCTGCGTCATTGCAAACGATTTTGAGCCATGTCGTTCAAGGTCTCTAACCATTGGTGACTATCGTCTCGCGGAACCCAACCAGGTAGTCTACATCTACCAACATGAATCAGTCCACTTGTCAGTGACTTCATGGGTTTCTGATATGTTTTGGTCTGGCTGCCTACAGCTTTCTTCCAACCCATTCCTACACCACAAAAAATAGCTCGACGAGGCATTCGGTGGTTAGGCAAACGCAGCACATGTCCCAACCACCTCAACTGATGAAGTTTCAATACTTCATCTACTGACCTGCCACCCTTGCCTGGGACTCGTTTTCTAACAACAGCATTGCTTAATCGGTTGTCCCACGATACACGAGCGATGCTTCAGAGACACCGATGATCGAAAACCATTAACCTACGAATATCTTCTACTCTCACTGGCCATGTTTCACAGTCATAAAGTAGGACGGAGCGAACTACTGCGCAGTACACTCGTCCTTTAGTCAGCAAACAGATGTCTCGCCTACGCCATAAGTGACGCAGGTTGACAAAAGCCAATCTAGCCTTCTGTATCCGTTCTGAGGTTTCGTCAGCCACCAGACCATCAGCATTGATAAAACTCCCGGGATAAGTGAAGTGGTCTACACGTTCGACTACTTCACTCTCTATCACTAGTTCAGGTGCCCATACAAGCCAATCCTGAAGCTAAAATTTCTCAGAAAAGATCATTTCCAAAGTGATGCTCTTTTCATTACAATTTACTACACTGGTAAAAATCGAACCTTGATAGTGAGATGTTAAACATGATAATTGGTAATAATTAATAATTATTTATTTAGACAAAAACATTGGTAATAAACCCGTATTGAAATAAATGGGCCACACAATAAAAATAGGA